CTTTCCCTAGCTCTGATCTTACTAGCAATCTTTAGTGCCAACTCCATAGGAATAAGATTATCAGCTCCTGCTCACCCATCAAGAAAACGTATTCAGAAAAAGATAGGTAGAGAACAGAAAACTTCATTCACACCAATGAATACATTCTAGACAACAGCCAGGTTAAAAACGGGAATAATGCAGTGTCCAGATCAAGCATCTAAACTTAGAAAAACATAAAAATCGATATCCCAAAACCCAATAAAGCATATACAAAGAGACTCTACAACACCATATCAGCTCTGCAGCATTTATACACTCAACCATGCTCTCGCCTAAAGAGCAACTTCTAGTCGTACCAATAACTGCAGTCCAGGATCAAAATGGTACCTGCATCTTTATAAGATGGCCAAGCGTATGAAGAACCCAGGAAATACTGATTCTCAATATATATGAAATGCTGAGCAGATCTGATTGCTTGGATGTATGCAGTTTGAATGCTTTTATCCACTACCAGACGTTTGGCACAGACGAGATTCTGCAGTAAACAGATAATTCTCAAGACTTAGCTGTGCAGCCATAGCACTTCAGAACAATGACAAGTGCAAGTCCATCTACCAGTGGAAGTACACAGCAAGTGTCAAGTGAAGGGACAGTAATGAAAGGAAATTAGTTCATCTACAAACCAGGGCCTCAGCCTCATCAGGATAATTCGGGAACCCTTTCACTGATCCTGAATCAATAGAACGGAATATCTGAAAGTTAAAGAAAACACAACTTCAGAACAGGTCAAAGAAAGTCTTTACATGAAAAGTGTTTCTTGCAAAAGGAACTTGGAAGGAATGTGCAAAAACCTGAACATGCCAATTCTCAGGATTATCTTCTTTGGAAACCCAAATTAATGGGTCGTCCTTTGGAACTACTGAAGTACCATCCTTCAGGATCGAAAACGCTGGACTTAAAATCCATGATATGCGTCCTATCCGGATCAGAGCATCATCTTGCCAACGACTTTTCCCCTTGAAACGCAAGCTAAACTCTTTCCATCGTGTTGCCTTTCTCCAACGTTGTTCAAAGTTTAAGAGGACATCATATGCAGCAGGCCCATCTATTCTACTGTGCAAATCATGCCAAGGTTGTCTTGGAGCCTTGGTACCATTCTGATAAAGAAGAATTGGAAAAAGGATCAGCAGAAGGAAAAAGTATTAACCTTCGAGCTGTGGAACTACTGTAAAACAATCATATCTACTCACTGGAAATGTAGGATTGTGAAAATCATCCTTAAATACAGTGTCAAGATCACGGAATAGCCGATGCTCAGGTGTATCATAGCGACCATCACATAGGTCTATACCTCCTATAAAAGCAGTGACCTTGCGATTATTGCCAGCAGCCTGAGTGTCCACAAGAACACACTTTTGATGGTGTGTGAAAAGAGTGCCAACAACCTGGGGATTAACATAGAAATAAAAGTATAAAACTCAGAAAGGAAATAATTTCAACAGAAAGAAGATGTCTAAGAACCAAAAAGGACATTATGACAACACTATCTAAGGAATTTGTTACACTAATTTATGATGAAGGATGCTAAACATGCCCAACAGAAATTATGCAGAGAACCGATCTCCAAAATCCGAATGCAACGTGTACCTTGACTAGAATATCAATTTAGAGAATACTGATCATGATCGGGTATCAAACCACCTGGCTCGCAGGGATTGACATTAAAGCCTAGAAGAAATTAGATCCATGGAAATGCTACCTCATCCGGAGACAGTAATCTAACAGATTTGTTGCAGAGACTGAACTTACCTGTTGTTTGAACAACCCAAGCTTGCTGCTAGCGTAGCGGGGAGACAATACACAAATCACAGAAGAATGCTTGAAGAACTTCCTAGTCTCTTCATCATGGGTCTGCATAACTCCTGCCTGCACCAAATTCCACAACGCAAAACATAAGGTCGAACATACTAAAAATAGTATGCTTGGACATGAACAGCAACCAAAAACCAGTATGCTTCCAGTGTTCTAAAACCAGCAAATGAACACTGCGACTACTAAATATAGAACTCGTAGTAGACCGTCACCTAAAATCAGGCAAATTAGGAAACACTCACTGTACTAATTCCGAACTTGTCATGAGAAGTCTTGTCATCCCAGACAAGCAGTAAAACTCGAACACCTTCTTCCGATTTGTATTTCAGCAAATCCCCAAGTGTCAGATCTCCACCTCTCGGCAATGGCCTCGTGGGTTCCCTCACCAGCTTCACCTTGTGAAAGACAGACCACCCAACAATGTATATCATATGGTGAGCTTCCGAAATGGCGTAACATATATCCTCCCAACATTTCTCCTGCCGATAAACCTTCCCGTCATCCAAATCGATCTCCGGTAACATTCCGTCGATGACATGAGCGTCCTGATACAATCTCACCTGACTCCCCTTCCTCAGAGGGAAGTAGGTCCCCTTGACGCCATCCTGCTCCGGGTCTCCGGGGATTCCCCGATGGTAGATTGGGTGCCGATCGAACGGCGTAAACTGCATCTCGATATAAATTGCGGTCTCTTTCTTCGGCGGCTTCCCCGAAGCGCCGAGGAGGGGGAACCAACCGGAGATGAGGTCGCCAGAGGCGATCTCCTTCACCGGGATCTTAGCGGAGCCGATGACCTGCGCGCCGAATGTGTCGTCGTCCTTGACCTGGAACTCGAGGTAAGCCAACGGATGAGCCAAGCAGACGACGAAATGCTCGTCCCAGTGAGGATCTTGAGAGTTCTTCACGACGCGAGTGCGAGCGAGAGTCGCCTGCGGCACCACGACAGTGACGTACGGATCGCTGGTGATGATCTTCCGGTGGGTATGTATTTCTCTATCCTTAACTCCTCCTCCGTCTCCGTCGCCGGCATTCGCAGAAGGCGTAGAGCAAGCGTCGCAAGCGGTGAAGCAGCGACGGAGGTTCTCAGAGAACATATCCATGTTCGGCAACCTCCTCGCCTTAACAATTTTCAAATCAAGGTCACCATGTAGAAGCATCACCTCCTCCGACGCCTTGTCCGCCATCGCCGCCGCTTATCTCCGGCTAGAGATACAACGAAATGAATAAGGAGGAGAAGACGACGAGGAGAAAGAGGAAAGGGGGGAAATGAGAAGCTGAGACAGAGCACAGAGCACAAAGCAAAACCCTAATGAGCAGTTTATTGTGCGAGTTGCATGATCGGGTGGGTAAATGTGTATGGTAATGGTACGGACATATCAATACACAGAGAAGGATGAGGTGGACACGTGGCGGCAAAAATCAATTAATTGGAATCCAATATTTTATTAGCTCTAAACATTACCTTCACTGATAATTCGCATTTGATATCCCCGAGGAACCAAAATAATAATAACATTATCTTTGTTCAACAAATCACGTGACAATGTCTCAGGATCCGCTGTTTCGTGTAGAAGGTTTAAAGGTATCTGAATAATACTGTTAGGTTGAAAGTCATTTTCAAGGGGAATCCGATAGTGATGGGCATGGCGGACAAAGACATATCTCTGTTCTCTGTTTCTGGTTTTGTCTTATCCGTTGCATCACTTCATGATGGTCTAACCTCATCTCGTGTATGGGTGAAGAACAATGACAGAAATTACATCAATTTTAACAAATAATAATTTAACTTTCACCCAATATTTGCTAATAAATTGATTACAATGTATATTCACTATCCAAAACAAAACCACAAATATAAAAAGAGAAAAAAAAAAGCACGAACAATGGAATCCAAAATGGTATCCCTCTTCCGACCAATCTCCCTTACACTGTCTCGTCTCCTGCCCTAATGATTTTACAAACAAAACCCAAGCAGACAAGAAGAGAATATGTTCCCTTCTATCTCGATTTTTGCAACGCAGAAAACAAAAGTTGGGTTTTTTTTCTCTCTGTCAAAGATACTTTTTTTCCTGTCAAAGATACTTCGTAGAACAATTTACAACTCATTAAAGGCTACAGAAAACCCTGGTTTCGAAGTTTCGCAAATGCGCCATTGTCGTGGTTAGGGTTCTTCGGTTGATTCTTCCACTTGGGACAAAACATTATTGTATGCATGCATGTATGTATATGTCACACACAGTTAGGCCTTCGTGTCAATTCAATGTCGACCAAAAGACTATTCTTTAGCCCAAAATAAAATGGGCCCAAAAGGCCCATATATTGGCGGCGCCGAATTTCCCACGGCGCCGCTGACCAAAGAACGCGTCTTTAGTGAAATTCCGTACGGAGAAGATGAGAAACCACCGCAAAAGGCGAAATCATCACCATCATCGGATCAATGGCGTCCTCGATCTACAGTTGCAAGGGATGCGGGTCGAATCTGAATCTGAATCCTAACAATTTGTTCCCGCCCGATTTCTACTTCGAAGCCGGGAACAAAGGGACGTTCTCCTTCTCCGCTGTCGACGCGACCAAGTTCAGGTTCGAGAAGGAGGACAAGATCATGCCTTTCTTCGAAACAGTAAACTACTGGGGAATCCAGCGGAAACGGACGAAGATCAAGTGCAACAGCTGTAGCCGGCTCGTGGGTTACATCTACGATGACGGTCCACCGCTTACCGAGGGCATCGGTCAGTTCGGGTTTGGTCCGAGCCAGGTTGTTCCTCGTGCCCCTCGTTACCGGTTCAAAACCAAGGCGCTTGGGATCTCTTCCCAGACGTAATCGGCTCGTCCGACCAGTGGTAGTGTTTCCAGAATTCAGAATACTTGAATAAATACGCGTCTATAATCATATACATGTACGTAGTTATCATGTGTGTCGGGTTTTGATTCATCCTCGTGTTGTTCTGTTCATAAGAGTTGTGTTTCTGATGACTTACTCTGGTAATGAATGAGGTTATTGTTTATCCTTCATGGTTTAGATTGGATAACTGAGATTCTGAAAACCACCCACATGATTGATTCATCTTCTTTTCAAATGCCATCATCAAATACCTTAGTTTCCACAGTGGATGATATGAATCAGATCGTTGTATCTCTGTCTTCTACTGGCTTTTTTCTAGTTCTGAATTAATATCAATCGTATTGCAAGTTAGAGTGGATCACTTTTCGATTGTTCTGCAGTTTGCAGATCTCCAACTACATTGATACATAGGAACAGAACCAAAACCCAGTGATTATTTGATGCATTGGAAGAATTGGGAAGGGAGAAAACGGATTGTTGGTGGAGTATATTAGCAGTATCCAGATACTTGAAAATGGCTGGTTGGTAGGCTTTGATTAGCAGCCTCTGGTTTCACACAGTGGTGAAAGCTTTGCTTCGAGGGCTCATACCCTCTTATCGTAAACTTGTGCTACCCTTGCTGTATTCACCTCCAACATGTGTCGGACCTCAGTGTGAAGACCATTGACGAACGCACTCTCCAAAACCGATTCCGGTATTTTCGGTAGCTGAGGCAACAGCTCTTCAAAATCCCTGAGATACTCGACCACGGAGCCCGTCTGACGCAAGGAGAACAGTCTCTTGCTCACCTTGCCGGTATGATGCTCAGTCAATGAATGGCTCCTCCTCGTTCTGCCAGTCATACCAATTCAAAATCTCTCCATCAAGACTTAATGTCGCCAAAGGAAGTTTTTCTTTCTCCCGAATCGCACCAAACTTAAAATAATGCTCAGCACGAACCACCCAACCGGCCACGTTCACCCCTTCAAACACCGGCATCTCCAGTTTTTTTAAAGTTAAGTCGTTACCAGCGATTAACGGAACTCGCGGCGACTCCTCGACGAACGTTTGAGGAACAACATGGGGTAACGGAGGAACGGACGACTCTCTGTCCCCATTAACCAACGGAGCCTTCCACTTATAGTCTCTTTATTATTCGTCTCGAATTCGAATCTTAAATTTGAAGAGGGGTTGATTTCTGTCCTCGACATTAATTTGGATGATATTGAAAAGTATTAGTATTTATAAGCATTCGTACGCAAGTGGTGAAGGGCTTACCAGAGAGGGATATAGGTTGGGTCCTCTTGCCCTCATTGACCAACTTCAATTTAATATTAAATAAATATTAATAATAAAAATAAATTGAAGTCACCAAATCATGAGTTGATAATGTCTAACATGATTTCTTCGCACTTCCTCTATAAGATCATTGATCATGCAACCCCACTCCTAGAAACACTAGCAATTCCAAACACTTGTTATACAATAAATTAAATACTTCGAATTTTAAATGAAAAATAACAAGATAATTAATAAAGATAAAAGGATTATCATAAATCCAAATTTAAAATATAATAAGAATAGCAGTTAACGCAGAGGAACCACGTGCTAAAAGATCCCAAGGAATCGAATTTCGTGTGGTGCCCAGAACATTTTTGGTAATTGAAACAAAGTCAACTTGGGGTTGAATGCAATTTCCATTAATATGGGGCGAAACCGTAAAATAGAGAAGTAATGGGGAGTAAAATAAGAAAAGAAGTAGAGTATTCAACGCATGTAGAAATTAGAAAGTCCAGCCACTGTGTTTGTATCTAACAAACACGTGAAGAACGAACGCCGAGACGAAGAATCAAACAAAAAAATTTATAAATAAATATTTTTTTTCCAGATGAAGATGGACAAATCCATCACCCGATATAAGCTTCGATCAAATTTTCTCTTCTATTCCTTCAGATCTCTCCTTCTCCATCTCTAGGGTCCTTCAGAGTTCGGTCAAATCCATCCATGGCGAAATCGAAGCACCACCTTCGTCAGCCGCGGAAATCTTCGTCGCCGTCGACTCAGGCCTTCACCGTTCTCATCTTGCTCACCTTCGTGATTCTGGTTCTTCTCGGCCTCGGAATTCTCTTTATTGAAAAAACTTATTTCTTACGTTTCGATATATCATTATGTGGTTTATCCATTATTTAGTGTTTTTAATAGTTGTAGAGTTTTTTGTTTTAATATTTTTCAAAATATACAAAAAAAAAGTAATTGTGAAAGGGAATCTATAGAATTTGTGTTTTTTTTTCCAGTATATTTGTCAATATTTCAAAGGATAAAGTGGAAAAATGACATCATTGGAGCATTTATGAAATTATCAAACCAAATCCATCCGACCAGGAAGTTTTGTTTTCTAAAATTCATTATCAAATCCCAAAACTCCATCACCACCACCTTCACATTAAAAAAGAGCGAGGAGAGGTGGGTAATTCTCGTGGTCTTCGGTTTCGGGTCGTCGGAAGTGTTCATCCTGTCTGATTCGGACATGGGTTCTGGATTTTTCTTCTTTTAACAGGAAGAGTTACGGAGAACACGAGAATGGCGAGCGTTGGGTTGAAGTGATTTCGTGGGAGCCCAGAGCTTTCGTTTACCACAATTTCTTGGTGAGTTGCGTGATCTCTGGGCTGATTTATGATACAGTACAACTTGCTTGGATCCATGCATGTTCATACAAGCTATGGAATTCGGCAATTCTTCTCAAACAGTACTTAATTATGCTGCATTTTGATCGATTACTGAGAGAAACAAAAAAGTTTCCTTCATATGCTTAGGGTTTTAGATCTCACTGAATGATCATTGCAAATGCTGTAGCAGCAAAAGTTTTCATCTTTTCACATTGAAACGCATATGGGTCTGTTTGAAATGATCTGATCATTGTAAATTGCAGAATTTGTTGATCTCTAATCATGTATTTGGTTCTTTGGATTTGGAAGTCCAAGGAGGAGTGCGAGCATCTGATCAGCCTTGCCAAACCCAATATGGTGAAATCTACTGTGGTTGATGAGAAAACTGGTGGAAGCAAAGATAGCAGGTTTGATCTCTACTCATCCTTTCTTTCCTTCTCAGTTTAATCTTGAAGATTGTTATTTGTCTCCTTTAATCCACACAATCTGATCCTGCTCAGAGTTCGGACAAGCTCAGGAACCTTTCTTAGAAGAGGACAGGACAAAATCGTTGAGGAGATTGAGCAAAGAATTTCAGATTTCACCTTCATTCCCGTAGGTACATGTTAGCTACTCTCGGTGATAGTTTCTTTCATTTGGGTAATGATTCTTGTTACGAGTTTGTGTACTGGAATCTTTCCTCCGACATTGTCTTGATGAGTGCAGAAAACGGGGAAGGCCTTCAAGTTCTTCACTATGAGGTTGGGCAGAAGTACGAGCCACATTTCGACTATTTCTTGGACGAGTTCAACATCAAGAACGGAGGACAGAGAGTCGCTACTGTCCTGATGTATCTGTATGTTACCGAATACTTTGATAGATCTTCTTCAACCCTTTCGTTGCTTCCTTCTTCTGTATAACACCTCTGCTCTGTTTGCTATGTTAGTTCGGAGGTTGAAGAAGGTGGTGAAACCGTGTTCCCGGCTGCCAAAGGAAACATAAGCGCAGTGCCATGGTGGAACGAGCTGTCTCAATGTGGAAAAGAGGGACTCTCAGTCATGCCAAAGATGGGAGACGCATTGCTTTTCTGGAGCATGACACCCGATGCCTCTCTAGACCCTTCAAGTTTGCATGGTGAATGACTGCTATTACTCATCAATATCATCATCATAAGCTTCATCTCCTTCTTTATCAATCCATGAAAAATAATACTTAATCAGATCTGTGTTTAATCTTGGATTCAGGTGGTTGTCCGGTGATCAAAGGAAACAAGTGGTCATCCACGAAATGGTTCCACGTCCACGAGTTCAAGGATTGAAAAAAAGGTAAACTGCTGATCCCTGGATTAGACTTGATGATGATGATGATGATGATGATGATGATGATGATGATGGTGATGATGATGTTTAGATGTTTTTTTTTTGGTAAAATAGATGATGTTTAGATGTTCATGCTTAGCCTCGAGTTTCTTTCTTTCTCCTCAGGCCCTCCTCCTCCTCCATGAGCTAAGCTTCATTCACGTGTAGTATGAAACTTGCATTATTACATCCTCGTACGGATCTAAACACTCAGCTCAGTCCTATCAACTCCAGTAACTGTTGTTACTCTTTGTCCTTGTAGCCATCCTCCTTTCTCTTCCACGCACTTGGTTTCTGTATATATATATATATATATATATATATATATATATATATATTTAGAGAGATCGTCAACACCTTCGTTACAAGAAACAGCACACACTCTGGCTAAAGATACCAGACCGGTTATATCTGTTTGGTTTAACTTGGGGGTTTGGTTTAATTTGGTTATTGAAAAAACTTATTTCTTACGTTTCGATATATCATTATGTGGTTTATCCATTATTTAGTGTTTTTAATAGTTGTAGAGTTTTTTGTTTTAATATTTTTCAAAATATACAAAAAAAAAGTAATTGTGAAAGGGAATCTATAGAATTTGTGTTTTTTTTTCCAGTATATTTGTCAATATTTCAAAGGATAAAGTGGAAAAATGACATCATTGGAGCATTTATGAAATTATCAAACCAAATCCATCCGACCAGGAAGTTTTGTTTTCTAAAATTCATTATCAAATCCCAAAACTCCATCACCACCACCTTCACATTAAAAGACATGTTTTGAAGACATATACTATAATATTGTATTTTTATTTTCTAAAATTTGTTCTTTATAACATTTTCCTAGAGATTCCATTTATATTTTATGTTTGAATAATATCCTAAAAAAAAACTAACCAGATGAAATGTATTACAAATATATATTTTTTTCACATCCAACTGATAAAACCACAAACAACAATTTGTTTTTATTTTTTTTATAACATGAGGCCTATGAAGTATAATATGCTAATTATCGGCATGTGGGAATTTAAAAAAAAAAACAAAAGAAATATAAGTTGTCGTCTCTTTGTGTTTTGATTAGTTTCTTTTGCCCGACGAAAAGAGACTCCTTTGATTTCTTTTTTAAAATTAATTTTAATTCGGTTGCTTGATTGTTTGATAAGTTAAATATTTTGACATTGACAAACTTCGAAAAATATATCAGAACTAATCATACGTAATTTGAACAAAAAAAAGATAGATGAAAATGGGAAAATGTTTCAAATTTCATCTCGATTGTATTACATTTACCATATAGACAATTCGATATATATATATATATATACACACACACACATAATGGGAGTATCCACATTTATAACCACGTATATTTGCATCTCAAATTGGAAAAGAAAAAAAGAAAAGGAACACACATGCTAGTGGAAAAGGTTACGTGAGATATATCTGGTCCACCGCAGTAGATGACCCACCAATCAAAATTCTTTGTATTTATATATGGTCCATTTCAAACACTTGTGCTTCTTTTAAATTACAAAAAAAAAAAAAACAAATTCCGTATTTTAATTTAAATGCACATATGACATACGGTTGAATTGGTTTTCCCTATTTTGTTTTCATAATTATTTTAAGCAATTTATTTTGATTTAATTTATGTTAGGTACATAAAAGAATACCATGGGCGGAATTCAGGGGGTGTTCGACGTACAACTCAGTCGCTATTTCTATTTGCTTAATTTCTTTATCAAGAGAAGAGACAGAGAATATCTTCAAAAAAATTAAGAGCTATGAAAAATATTTAGAACATTACTGTAATATTTAGATTTGATATTATTTCTATATTTTAGATATTTGTATTGATGATGTGATTTTATTTTCTACCTATAAATATTGTAATATTTTATATTGAATAATAAGAAATCAAATGATTCTCCATCCATTTTCTCTATTATTCTTTTATTATGAAATAAATATTTTCACAAATGTGGAGGTATATTACTATTTGTGGGCTTTAGCAAGATGTAAAACTTATACTGAAACCAAAGGACTTGTTTAAATGTTATTAAATTATCAGTATATATTTTTTTCTAATTTAATGTCGATGTAAAAACAAACATTAACTGTCTAGAATAGTTACAATAATAAATACAGATAAATATCAATTCAATGTAATCATGTTGCATGCATGCATAGAAAAGGGTTACACTGAATTTCTTTTATAATCCAAAATCTTCGGACCAGATATATATGAATACGTACATTAGGAAAACAAATCTTTATACATATACACACTTAACAACAAATCAAAATTACTAGTTTCCATATATATCTCTCTATTCATGCCATGTCATGGCATACCATCCATTGCATGTCCGTACAAACACATGCACACTTGATGTCATGCATGTCTTAGAGTGATGGATGATAATAACTGCGACATGGGGACCAACGTCCAAATGGTTGCCCCATATGTAGTTAAAAAAGTTCTCAGAAAATATCTTGGACGGTAGATATTTGTATACATATAATATTATATTATATTATATATACATACATGTATATATGTGTGTGTGTGTTCATTATCAATCTTATCTAAAATAATACGCGGTTGGAATTTCAAAATATCATGACTGAGCCAACCTTCTGACAATGAATTCAATGTTTTATAGATGCGAATTAAATGTCTGCGAATGGAAAGATGAAAGTAATGTGGGTGTTGTTGCAGCTACGACTTACGTTTATAAATGTAGCCGATGGGCGATGGCTAAATCCGACATGTCAATTGCCTCGTTAGTTTTGTCCTAAATGGTATTATTCATACAACGATATAACGTAAGCTAACCATTTCATCCGAATTTAGATAACTTGACCACAATATTTCATGTACTTTGTTACAAATCTTTCAAACCCAAAATCCTTTGATAATAACATAAAAACACCAAACACATTTCATCATTTGTTAACTCTAACTCAGAAAATAATGAAAGAGAAAATATTAACTTTGGCCCCGTAGCACACCATTTTATTACTCTATATTTCTAATTTGTACATTAACCTTTGAGGTATAAATAGAGAAAATAAATAAAACAAACTATCATAAATTAATGTTAACTACTCCTAACACGTCTTCTGTCAACCCATCTTCCCTTAAGACTCGATTTGATAATTTGACCATTTCAAATTATCAACAAAACATTATTTAAACATAAAATAAAATATTATAATACAAGATTATTCTAACATACATTTCTTTATATTATATTCTTTCCTACTCACCTTTTTTTTTTGTTAACTGGATGTTATGGATCGAGATCCAAACTAATCTCTTTTTAGAGTATATAATGGATAAATTATTCGATGAGATTATACCTCAAACCCCATCTTGAAAATTCAGTAATTTAGATATTTCGGGTAGAATTCGGATATCTAAAAAAATTAGTGTCTGATCTCTATCAAAACCTAATTTGTGATAATCCTAAACAATCTATATCCAGACTTTCTGAAATGCATAGACATTTTATTATTTTATTTATAACGACACTTCTAATTAAAACAGAACTTTATAATAGAATACACAGGACATTGTATTATTTTGTATAAGTTTTAATCTCATAACTACAGGTTCATGCATATATATGGAAGGTATATATAACCAAATGACGATTTACAATTCATATGTGTTATGTTAGTTTTTCTATTAGATACTTTTGATAAAAAGGCCTATACGTATGTGCAGGTACACACACAGGATAATAGAAATTAGGGATAAATATATCTTGGAGTCCGACACAGTTTTCGAACTTATTTTGTTGATTTTAGAAAAAAAAATATCTTTATGTCAAGTTTCGTTTCAGTTTGAATTCTGTTTAGATCTATTTTTTTGTTAAAAAAAATGTTATTTTCTAAAACAAATTCTTCTCGTTCAGAAATCATATTTATTAGTGTTTAACTCAAATTCGGTTAATTTAATTAAAGTGAAATTATATATACAATAAAATATTAGTTTAATTTTATTCAATTCAATTTAATTTTACATATTCTATCCCAAAATATTCACCAACATCTTCTAAATATGGGCATTTATGGGTTAATAATTTTTTTTTAAAAAAAAAGGAAGATCTGTCTAAATACCGTATCTGTCTAAATACCGTGGATGTAAGGTAAGTAATCAGTGGACAAAGATCTAGTTTTTTTTTTGATGAAGACAAAGATCTAGTTTCTACATCTTTCCAATAGATATCCTCGATCGCATTATAAGTTTTATTACAATTAATATATTTGACTAAGTAATCGATAAACAATAGGTATTTTTTAAATAACAATATATTTTTTTTCACAAAAAAAAAAAAACTCGCATCTCATTGGTACGTAACCGTTCATTCATGCATGCATGCACGCATGTCTCTTAGAGTTGTTAATTAGTGGTTGGGATCCACAAATTTGACCTAGTTTAGGATATTTATTTAAAATTATTCGAAGACGACATTTCCTCTAGTTGGGGTATTTGTAGGTTTGGATGGTTCACGAGTAGAACTTTATCGAATATTCATGCATTTATTGTGTAGTTGCTTCGTTTTTAATTCGAATTTATTGAACGTGTAAATGATATAATATTAGAATCATTGATGGAAAATAGAAATAATTTAAATAAAGATAATCGAAGAATAGATAATGTAATTGAGATGATTTTTTTGTTTAAATATAATATTGAAATAAAAAGAATCCAATAAAAAAATAGAAAGAGTCGTAGATGGGACAATAAAGCAATTTTTTGATACATAATATTAATTCAGTTTATACCAATATACATAATAATCCTATTTGAATGTATTAAAAGATGAATGTCTTAAACATAACTATCCATTGTAATTGAAACAAAAAGAATATAAGAGTTTTCATTTACGAATGATTAAAAAAAATATGTAACGCTTTTGCAAGAAAATTGGGTTTAATTCCCGAGAAAAGGATGTTTATCTTATTTTACGAAAATAACAAATATAGATCTAGGTATAGAGTTTTTGTTAAAATGATAAGGCTCATTCTCAGTTAAAATTATTTATCTATTTTTTTAATTAGATGCATGGATTATTCATTCAAAATATCCAAGTTATCATGCCACATATATTTAAAATTTTCGCAATTAAATAAATACGATCGACTAGATAACAAAAAAAAAAATACATTGTCAATGATCTAATAATACATAGATAAGACAAGCCCGGGTTGAATAAGACTCATGATCCATAATTCATACCTTAATTAGATCATTTAAAAAATATCGAGTTTCAATTCTTTCCAGATTTGTGTGTTGTAGGAGAAAGAATTTGATTATTCTATCAATTAAATAAATTAAACTAATTTATGGCCATGCATAAGCTTAATTAGCTCCTTCCCGCACGTAAAAGATATTGTAATCGAGTCAAATTCCAAATCCAATTAATTTAATCAAAATATCATATGAAGAATATTAAATACTAACAACCACTTTGACACAATTGCATAATCTTTTTATTGCATAAAATGGACTAACACCACTAGCAAATAAATCCAACGTTTATTTGCTGCAAGTTTCTAACTTTCTACAACGTATAAAGAGATAAGACTTGGCATGTTTTGTTCGTCGGATATATTCCTACATATACATACATATATATGTAAATATTTATTGCAATGGAAAATTTTCAAGAGAAAAAAAAAACATAAAATTGTTTTTTTTTTTTTTTATCTTTTCACTTACTAAAAGAATATATGGGCGGATTTTTCTTTAAAAACCCTGCCAAATGAAATTGGAAAAAAAGGAAAGTTCTTGCCCCGTGAGCTTGCGACTCTCTCTCTCGTGCTTTGACAATGAAAGCTGAGTCTTGTTTTCAACAATGATCAGACGAGAGACAGTAACCCTAGATTTTCCTTCACCTACAAGAGGAAACTTTTGGCCATGAAAGCGAGCGAGGCAAGCTTTAAATGCAAGTAGAGCGACCTCGCATCTCTTCGCTTCGTGGCTAAGCATACATACCCAATTCTCTCTTCCTCTCCCTCTCCTTCTCCCTCCCTCTCTCTCTCTCTCTCTCTCGCTCGTATATAAGCCCCTTTCTGGATTCTGCTTCAATCTCAGATCGTTTTCTTGTTCTTTGTCGCGCGAAAAATGTCGTCTTACGCATCATACCCATCTGGGTTCTGTCTCCTCTCGTCGTGTCCTTCTATCGGTAATTTCGTCGAACGGATTAAAGACGCTTGCCGTTTCCTCGTCTCCGCTGTTCTCGGCACAATTGTCTCCGCGATCTTGACCTTCTTGTTCGCTTTAGGTTGGGCTCTTACTTTCCTCTGATTTCTGATTTGTGTTTCATGATTTTACTTTACTGACATTGGAATCTCTAACTCATCGTGTTCGGACGCTGTTTTCTGCCCTGGTACAAAAAATCCAAGCTTTGTGAAAAGAATCCACAGTTTTTTTTGCCCCCTTTTGGGGTTGTTTTAATCATTTGGAATCCTTAAGTTTTACGAATTTTCATGATTACCTGGAATTCTGTGATCGAAAGATTGAAACTTTGGTTACTTGGGGACTGAGAAAGATGTTTCCTTGTCGTGCTGGGCATATGTTCAGTCGGTACAATGTTGGGCGCACTTACAGGAGCTTTGATAGGACAAGAAACAGAGAGTGGTTTCATCAGAGGAGCTGCGGTCGGAGCCATTTCAGGGGCTGTTTTCTCCATCGAGGTCTTCGAATCCTCTCTCGTTCTCTGGAAATCAGACGAGTCCGGTTTCGGATGCCTCCTCTACTTGGTAAATTTTGCTTCTGTAACCAAATACACATTGTATTACACAAAGAAACCTTCAAGTTCATGGTGAAATTTGAGCTTCAACTGATCTTCTGAGTGATTCATGTTCCTTGTAAATCCTTTCAGATTGATGTAATTGTCAGTCTGCTAAGCGGGAGACTTGTACGTGAACGCATCGGTCCAGCCATGCTAAGTGCAGTCCAAAGTCAGGTACTTTTATATGGCTATTGCAGAGTGGATCCTTTTGCTCTTACGGGTTATCAATTTCCCGACGTTTTCTCTCGTCATCTGCTCAGATGGGAGCAGTGGACACAACATTTGACGAGCTCTCAAGCATCTTCGACACTGGAGGTTCAAAGGGTTTGGCAGGAGACATTGTAGAAAAGATCCCAAAGATCAAAATCACCTGCAAGAACACCATAGACGCCTCTGGGAACAAAGTCTCTTGCTCTGTTTGTCTTCAGGTTTCAACCCGCAATCTTTGTTCTTCTTCAGCTTTCCTCATGACGAAACCCGAAAACACAATGGACCACCCTCATGTTCTTGTCGTTGTTCTTTTTGCAGGATTTCCAGATTGGCGAAACGGTGAGGAGCTTGCCACACTGCCATCACATGTTTCATCAGCCGTGCATAGATAATTGGCTTCTCAGACATGGATCTTGCCCTCTGTGTCGACGGGACCTATAATCTCATCAGTGCTTTCTCTCTCTCTCCTCTCTTCCATATGTAAATCACAACAAACCATTGTTCTTTGATTTGTTTAAGCTTTTTGTTTTTGATCTGTACACCTTTCTCCGGGGAGGTTGTGTTCTTGGTACTCTGGTCGGTTGGTCACCACACGATGTATCACCATCGTACGTGCCTCATGGTTAATAGATAATAATGTATAAAAAAAGAGTTTTGGTTAGTAGCTCTCTCCCCAATCAATTGGTGATCAATTTTGTACAAAAACCACTAAACCCCTTTCAAGAATTATTATGGTATACCTGTTTTGATGAAACTTTTACATACAAGAAGATTGAAAAGGTTAGACTGATGTCCAAAACATTGATTTTGAAGCCAAGATTTTGGACAAGAAACTCGGAATCTTTCACACGTATCCCAGAATTCGAGTTTTGAAACTCGAAATCTTGTTCTCTAACACATGAAACCGAAAATCTTTAGTAAGAACAAACTTGAAACTGTACATTCCGGTGCTGTTTTTTGTGTTTTCAGTAAGCACAGGAGAGATGGAGCACAAATAAAGACATGCAATCTGCACACGAGGATATATATCATCAATGGTGTCATGTCTTAACCGCAACAGCCACCTCTCTGTGCGACCGCTCCGTCTCTTCCTCCGGCCTGACCTTGTGGACGCCCATAACCAACCTTGATTCCCGATGACTGCGAAATTAGAGATCAGAGTAAGTCACCATTAAAGTCACTCAAAAAAGTGAAGATTAGTGACATGGGTTTTCAATTTGGACAGTGGCACTGGAAGAAGGATCCGGCCTTTTGTATCCTTCTCCATGGTTTGTTTCCTATATGGCAAACAAAAGCCAGATGTGATGAACTAGTATAGTTTTTGTTGAATCGTTTTCCTCAAGAGCCTCTTGTTCAATGGAAGGATCAGCCACTAGTGGATACAACTCTGTGTTTTCATCTAGGGGTTATGACCACAAGAATGATTTGTTTCTCACACCACAAGAAAGGCCGAGTAAGCTCACTTTTACGCCCTTTTGAGTATAAACAATTCTCTACGACCTCATCTATGAACCTACGACCCGAGATTTACAACACCTGTGCTAAGGGATTGGAGCAAAGAAACCTTGGCTATCATGGTAATTTGAAGAGTGAATTGGCTTATCAAGATTAAAACATCGAAAGATAGCATATAGAATTCAAGAGAAGGGTTTAGCTATAACCATACCTCGTTGGATACATCAAACACACCATCTTGAATATTCTGGAGGATCTTTGCAGCAGTCTTTATGAAGGCCTATAGATATACGAAATCAGATCTCTCGATACAGCAGAAATAAACAATTTTGCACGTATTATGAGACGTCAAACAATAAAAGGATTATAAGAAGTAGCAATCAGGATAGATCACCTCCTCAACGTTTTGGGCTGTTCTTGCAGATGCTTCCAAGAACAGCATTCCATGTTCTTTGGCAAATTGTTCGCCTTCTTCTTTGCTTACAGCCCTCTTATGGGCGAGATCGGATTTGTTCCCAACCAGCATAATACTCATGTTAGGATTCGCATGCTGACGTGCATCCTCCAACCAGCTCGCAAGATGATTAAATGTTTCTCTCCTGCCGAAGAGATTTTGAGGTTCAACCGATCAACTTTCTAACCAGTTAGAATACCTAGTCAAATCATTCACTTGGCAAAAACAAAATACTTTATAACAGATGATTGTAGTAACAGTCGTTACACAAACAATATCGCAATCTTTGATCAAGAAGGTACAAAAGCAGCTGACTGGATCACTGCATACTAGGACAAATAGCCTAATTTTTTTGGCAAACCACAGATTCCTAATTAAAATAAAACAGAATGCTAAGACTATCAGACTATCTTACAATCTCAGGACATCCAAGTAAAGAGTTCGATCAAATAACGAGTAGCTTTCCTCAAAACAGACATTAAGACCCGTATATTACATTATTACTACACTCAGAAAAGACCAGTAAAAAATCCTGCCATAGGAACAAGTACAGATTAACGACATGGATATCGATGTACTAATCTCCCATGGATCTGATACACATTGTTGAAAATCTGGATTGAGAGTAGCAAAAATTATCATGGACGTATAAAACAATAACTAATCTCAGCATCAGTTTCCTTGATCATTTCAGCATGAGTACCAGGTTACACCAGTAGCGAAAGAACACTTGTAATACTAACCTGGTGATGTCGTAAACCAGCAACGCTCCAGCTGCCCCTCTGTAGTATGATCTCGTGATGGATCTAAAAGACTCTTGTCCAGCCTAAAACGCCGGGAAACTCGTCAGATCTTAGAAACGCCACGGAAAACATAAGTAGGAAATTGAGCTGGAACCCAGATATCATCCCACAGTATAAATTAAGAAGCAAGATTTTTTTTTTTCTATAAAGCAGCATACTTTATCTTGTATCCAATCAGGATTATGCACAAGATGATCACTGAAGAAAAAAGATAAAGGGATATCATATCTAACTAATGAAACCAAAAGAAACTGCTCACAAGAAAATTACGCAAAAATCAAACCAGCACACAGCAGCAAACGCTGTCTATGTAATTTGGCCAGAGAGATAAGCCTATTGCAAGTGGGGATCAACAAACAGGAGACATAAACACATTGTCCTGGAATAAGGCATTCCCTTCATCGTGACAATTACGGATATCTCCTCGTGAATTACAGAATTTGGAGCATAATTAGCTAAAGCAACTATCACAGCACAAGCATCTCTAATCGTCCATTAATTAACCCAATTAACTTTTGACCATGATCCGTCAGCTTCCTAATCACAATCTGCTCGATGCAGACAGAAAACCAATCACAATTTGGACCTCAAACATAAGATTATCGGCTAATATGATAAAACCTCAGAAAATTCCCTCATAATCATAATCGGATGCTGATATGATAACGACGCAGGCGAGAGAAAGTAAACCGTACGGTGTCCCAAATCTGAAGCTTGATGGGTCGGCCATCGACGGTGACCATGCGAGCACCGAACTCGACACCAATGGTGAGATCGTGGACAGGTTGGAACCTCTTATCAGTGAATTGCAGAAGCAGGCACGATTTCCCAACACCTGCCAGGCACATGGATCGAAAACCCATTAAAACTCGCCCAGAGCTTGATCGACCCAAGAAAATAGAAATTCAAAATCCGAACAAAGAACCCGCGAAAGAGAAAAGGCCATCACAGCTCGTCGTCACCTGTGTCTCCGATGATTATGTACTTGAAAAGGTAATCGTACGACATGGCTCTTAATCTGCAAGAAGCTTGATGATTTTTCTCGGGGGAGAGGTGAGAGAAGACGATGAAACAGAGGGAGAAAGAAGAAGAATACGGTGACGTATAAGGCACCGACCGACGCGGCTTTGTTTTTCGAGGTTTTTCAATGGCAATAATTTTCTCTCCCCAAAGTGAAATAATTTAAAACAATAAAAGGGAAATTTTAATTTTCTCACAAAGGGTATTTTGATAATCCCATATTCACCCACAAATTTTCAAAAAAGTTTCAATTTTCTATACCAATTTTTAATTTGACAAAAAACTACACCGAATTTCAAATATTTCCAAATTCCCACACAAAATCTTAAAATGTGTTGCAATTTCCCCCATATCCGTAAACGAAGTTAAGTTCCGTCAATTTTAATGCTGATGTGGCATGCCACGTCATACAGATTTCGCCAAATCAGTACATTTCGCTACATCATCCAGCCACATCAGAAAATAAATAAAAAATAACATAAAAATAAAAAATTTCTAGAATTTTTTTTAAAACTAATAAAATAAAATAAAAATACATAATTTCAAATTTTATTTTTTAAAAATAAAATAGAAAATTACATATACATATATATACACTTTTATATCTATACACAATTATATACATATACATATATACAAATATACATCTACATACATAATTATATACATATATATATATAGACACACTTATACATTTACATATATACACACTTTTACATATATACACAATTTTTTAAAAAAACTTTTAAAAAATTACAGAATTTTAAAATTTATTTTTTAAAAATAAAATAAAAAATTACATATACATATATACACAAATAATATATATACATATATACATACATATTCACATATATATATACATATTCAATATATATATATATATGGATATATATGTATATATATGAATATGTATATATATATGTGAAGATGTATGTATATATGTATATATATTATTTGTGTATATATGTATATGTAATTTTTTATTTTATTTTTAAAAAATAAATTTTAAAATTCTGGAATTTTTTAAAAGTTTTTTAAAAAATTGTGTATATATGTACAAGTGTGTATATATGTAAATGTATAAGTGTGTCTATATATATATATGTATATAATTATGTATGTAGATGTATATTTGTATATATGTATATGTATATAATTGTGTATAGATATAAAAGTGTATATATATGTATATGTAATTTTCTATTTTATTTTTAAAAAATAAAATTTGGAATTCTGTATTTTTATTTTATTAGTTTTTAAAAAAATTCTAGAAATTTTTTATTTTTATTTTATTTTTTATTTATTTTTTGACGTGGCTGGATGATGTGGCGAAATGTGCTGATTTGGCAAAATCTGTATGACGTGGCATGCCACGTCAGTATTAAAATTGACGGAACATAACGTCGTTTACGGATATGGAGGAAATTGCAACACATTTTAAGATTTTGTGTAGGAATTTGGAAATATTTGAAATCCGGTATAGTTTTTGTCAAATTAAAAATTGGTGTAGGAAATTGGAACTTTTTCGAAAATTTGTGGGGGAATATGGGATTATCCCTTTTTTTAATTTAAGAAAGGAAGAAAATTTTCAATTATAAAAGCTACATTTTTTAAAAATTATTTTAAACTTATATATAAAATTACAAATATCTTAAACACTAAACCCTAATTAAAGTCTAAATCTTATAAAAAAATTGTTATTTTTGATAAATATGCTATTTTACCAATTTTACTTTTTATTTTGGAAACCACTAAAATCCCAAAAAAATATCTTAAAACACTACATTATACGAAATGCAAAAAATAATTAACTTAATAATGACCAAATAAAAATAGGAGTATTGTTAGCACACCAATTAATTTCCATTGTCATAAAACTATCATTAAAATGTTAAAAGAGAAAAGAGAAATTGTCATATGAGAATTATAATAAAGGTGTTCCTTTTCATATTCCTTGAATATTGTGTGGACTTATATTCATCTTCATGTTTTGCACGATAGGGAATTTTATTCACGATTTTTTTATGAATCCATACTTTCATACGGGATTTTTATTAGGTTCTATAAAATAATATAATAAATCAAACCAAATTATAGAAACAAAATAATAAATAAAGCGCTCTGGGGTTCTTTCTTCGACCGCTCCCTTCTAATGAATTTGCGAATAGGGCCCGTAGCTTTAGAAATAATTCTATTTTACGTCGTCATTTTGCTATGGACTGACCCCGCTAGAGAGAGCCACGTCGTTTCAACTCTCTGTCATCCAACTCCACGCCGTCAACCTCGGCCGAAAACGACACGCATTTCCGCATCCTAATGCACAAACGTCATACAGTTTTTAAGTAACCAGTGATCTGCATATTCTCCACCGAGTCTCTCCACAACATCAGCTCGAATCTTAAGACTGGTCCGATCCGAATTTCCAGGGCTATTACTTTTCTTCGCTTCCAAGCAAAGACCATACCAAAACAGACAGAAAAAGACAACCTTTTACCGTCTTCAAGAGTTTGTGGCTTCTGGTGAAACCCACAGAGAATCTAAATGCTGATGATGTGGAGAAGAGCTGAGGGCACGATCATGGCTGTCTGAGATGAAGAAACCCAGAAAAAGAACTGATCTCCTCGCCCTCTTCTTGATTCTTCTTCATCAGAAGAACTTTCAGACCAAACAAAGAATTCCAGCAGAAAACAAGCAATTCACAAAGGAAAGCTACTTTGACCTGTGGCTGTAACTTGAACTCACATGGAGAAGCATGTATCTTCCAGAGTTAGAAAAAAGAGGGAAAGAATCTACAGCTATCTACTTGGCTATGGCTATGTCGTAAAAGTGATTTATTTCGAATGTAAACAGAACTGTACCAAAAAAAGCCAGATTTTGGATTCGGCTTAATCAGTCAGTGGATGGTCTAGAAGGTATATGAACACCACCACCTCCTTTCAAGGAGAAAGAAGGGCCGCCACCTTTCACTGAGCTCAAGAGATTGGAGTCGAAGAACACAACCACCACTGTGATATCATCGTGGAAGTGGCGACGGACACCACGCTCTATCTTCTTTAGATCCGAATATCTCATCTCCCTCTTCTTTGCTGCTTCCTGTAACGCAGTTTTCACCAGCCTCTGAGCAATTCCCTGTTGGAAATGAAGATGGAAGAAGAAGCTCATGAGAAAGGACAAAACTTTCTAAAACCTGGGGGTTTCTTGATTAGGACAGATCTATTAATGGAGACAATCAAACAATTAGATCCAGCTATTGGTGCTAGAAAAAACACGAAAGGACCAGGCTTCAGCTGAGAGAATAGGTTAGAGATAGTGCCGGGAAATTTCCTGGCATTAAACTCTAAGAAGCATGGTATTAGACTCAAAACTCTGATATTTGGTGTTACTATAGTATGAATTCATGAATCTGAGGGATTCGATTTTACAGATGAATTGGACGATTATTTACCATTTTTACCGCTTCCCATACAAGAAGGCGTAAAGATTGCAGAAAGAAGATAAATATCTTACGCTGCGAGGATGATTCTGAACAATATCTACAGCTTCTTGATTGGTAAGGTGCTCCCAGAGGCCATCTGATGCAAATATAACAAACTGATCTTGAGGCTGGAGTTCGTGAACAGAGATGGATGGCTCAGGGCTCAGTATTGGTCTCTTAAAAGGCTCCCGAAGGCGAAACTTTGCATAGAGGGGCTCCCTGTTAAACTCCGCCTTTTTCAGATACACGTCCCCAATCGATCTTGAAACCTAAAGATTCAGAAAATGAAAATTCCTCATCATGAAACTTTGCAGGTAGTGACTATAAAAGGACTATTACACAATCATTATTACAGTGGATTTATCAACCCAACTCTTGTCATTTGAGAAAATATGCAAAGGGTCAAATAAGTCTGTAAGACAAGGACAGACCAGATGGCTCAAGAAGCTCGAGTAACCGAGCAATCAAATCTTGCTCCTACACTTTATATCCACGGCAAATTCCATACACTAGGCATTCAAACTCATGGACAGAGAGTTAAAAATCTCGAGAGTGGATGTGGAGCAAGAGCTGCCATACCTGTATTAGACCCTTCACACGCCACACATTATGCTTCATAACAACAATATGGGAGTCATCTGGATGCAAAGAATGCATCTCTTGCCTTACAGACTCTATGGCCACATTATGTTCAGATGAGAGTTGGATGGCGATAACCTCCCCCGTAGCCTTCATAAGCCTCCCCAGCACAGCACGAGAATCTCCGACATTAGCAACGTACAAGTTCCCATTGCAAATAACCCCGACAAGACAGCAAGATCCAACAGCTGCGATCTGCGGTTTCATTGACCACTGCTTTGTAACTACGGATAGAAACCCTTCTTCCGTTGCTTGATATGCTTTCTTTATCACATCTACAGACATGGATTGTTGCTCCGTGGCAAACCCTGAAAGACACTTACAGTTTGATGGTAAGAAACAGAATGCAGGCTTAAACAGAGAAGAAAAAAACTCCCTTCTTTTGCCCAAGAATTTGACAGAGATTAAGTTTTTGACGAGAAACAACGTATCTTAAAGATAACCTATTAATATTTCAGAGGGCTTTTTTTTTTCCATTCAGGAGACAAGAGTTTCTCACTCCTTAGATGCCGGAAAAGATGATCATTGATGTAACGGGAAGTCTCGGGCCCTCCATGGCCATCATATACGCCAACAAAGGTGCCGAAAGGACCAGCATCAAGGAAACTCAGAGGACCAGATTCGATCTGGCTCTGATCTTCCAGCAGGTTATTAGCCTGAACCACAGCCATGGAGAAATCACCAGCCAGATGCTGACCGACGTCTTTGTACCACAGAAGCCCGTCCTGGCGTCCCGTGGCATCTGAACCCGAATGAGCCGAGTAGGGTCTCCAACATGACCTCAGGAAGTTCATTAACTTTGATAACATCCCTCATTTCAGCAAGGCCCAACCTCTCCAAGTGTTGTTCATTCAAGTAACCACCAGTCTCTGTCCCTTCACTTGGCTGTAATAATAAACCTCTCCAAAACCCCCCCTCACTGTTCTGGTCTGCAGATCAAATCAAGCATCTTGTGATCAAGAAATGAAAGAGAGAGGGAAATTAAACAAAACTAGGGTTTAAGAACTCATCCGGACAGAGTCCCTGCAAACGGCAGTTGATCCAAAACGTTAACGTGAAGCCAATGCGATTATGCAGAGAATCGTCTCCGTAATTGACGCGTTGAGTTCAAACCCAGATCAGAAAAACCGACCGAACAAGGCGAAGACTTTGAAAAGCAAATTCCACCCACGACGCAAAATCTAAGTAAAACTCTAAACAATCGACATCGTCAACAGTTCCAGAGCCCAAAAAGGAGAATTTCAGCCACAGCCACGAAAAACTACATCGGTTTTCACATTTCCAAGTTCCATCAAAGCCAAAATTTTGACTTAAACCCTGAATTCCAGTGAACAAAGGAAACGAAAAGGGAAAAAACCCATAATCTAAAAAACCCAGGAAGAAAGCGAATCCAGACCGAAGAAAAGGGAGGAGAGGGGACAAGACAAAGGGCACTCACCGTACAATTGTGAACTCGCAAGAAGTTCGCTACTGTCTTTGTATCTTAATGAAACAGAGAAAGCATCAGATCTTGAGATCCTTCGGATCACAAACAATAAACAAATAGAGTTTCCTCTCTCCGCTTAACGATTGACTCTCTCTCTCTCTCTCTCTCTCTCTCTCTCTAGACACACTTCTTCTCATTGAAGGAAAAAAAGTGAAGAGAAAAACGGATAGATGGACGAGATCATCGGAAAACCCTTTTTCTTTGTATTTTTTTTGTTCACGAACAAAAAAGTTACCTTTTTATAATTTTTGCTGTCAGTGTGATTTGACAGGAAGAAAAAAAAATGGAAATTGTTTTTTTTTTCCTGTATTTCCCTTCATCTCAAGCCCAAAGCCAAAGGGACAATAAATATACTGTCTTGATGAAAATCACTAAATCAGATTTCGAATAGAGAAAAAAAAAAAAAAACATCAGACGGCAAGCGATGGCTGAGAGCCAGCGATGCATGTGGATCGGCAATGGGCAACATGGGCTGTATATACACACACACACATTACATACATAATTTTCTATTATATATATCTTGTATAATTGGCAAATGAAATATAGGATATGAGGTGTGAAAAGAAGGGAACGACGAGTGCACGTGCAATATGGGAACAACTGGCCCCAACCCCATGTGGACCCACTCTCACCAAAATTCCTTATTGCTCTTAATTTTTTTTTTTTATAATCCGGAAGTTCACCGACTTTAACCCGACTATATTTTTCAGAGGATCGAGAAAATTCAGATGAATGTCCTTTTCCACGTTTGGGTTTGAATCCAGAGTGAGAACATGTTTTGCATATTCTCTCACCACTAATCACCCAAACTTGGATATTGCGCTTAATTTTAATGTCAATGTTTTGCACTTAATCTCAAACTCGTATACTTTTATTTGTATGGTGCAAAAGTATTGTCTTTTTAAATATATTTTTAAAAAAGCATACAAACGTAAATTTTCATTAAAATATTATGTCATTCGTGCCATCTATGACAGTATATATATTTTTTTAAAAATTATATATATATATATATATATATATATATATAACGGTTGGATCAAAAGATAATGAAGAAGACCGCAGACCAAACATAAGAAAGAAGCCCGTCTGCAGCTCCAAGTCCACGCGTTTTCCCATTATGGAACAGAAAATAAAAAGGTTTTATTGGACAAAACAATTTATTCACAATTTCTATTGTTTAATATATTATTACTTCCCTTGTAATTCGCCGAATAAATGGTGATATGTTTATAAAAAAAATCAACAAACAAAGAAAAATGATATATTCTTTTGTTTGTCTTTCATAATATGCGACCGTAATAAAATTGATTTAAGTGGAATAATTATTGCTTTATTATTTTAAAAATATCAATGGGCCATATTGGTAAGGATTAAAATTTTAGGAATCATATAATTTTAGAAAAAGTCGGTCGACTCCAATATGTCTTTTATTGATAGAACTTAAGTTTTAATAAAAGTATTACACCGAGCAGATCTTATGTTATTATTGTTTTAATCAACTAACACTGGCAAGTTAATGCAATTATATTAATATTGGTCGGCATTTGGATCATCTATTTTTGGGCTCAATTGTTAAAAGGCCCAACTTTTTAGAATGGGCTCATAAAGTCCAAACCAGGGTTGTATATGGACTTTTCAAAATCTTAGGGGACTAATCAAGGGTATTATACTCTACGGGGTGAATGTTAATACTATATAAATAGAAGGGGGTAAAATACTATTTTTTAGATTCGAGGTAAGAAATCGAAAGAAACAGAATCTGAGGGGAGGAGAAAGAGAGATCCCGCGCTTTAAACGTCGCCGGCGGGACCCACTGTTCCCCGGACGGTGATCGCAGTTTTCAACCCTTGGAACTGTACTGCTGCTGTTACGTTTACCTAACAACAAGAACACATATCCCCCCCCTCTCTCTCTCTCTCTCTCTCTCTCTAAATTTTCACATTCCCCGAAAAACCTAATTTTTTCCCCAGTTCACATTTTCCCGATTGCTCCAAGATCCAATCACGCAATTTTGATTTTTTTGAAAAATCTTGGGTTCTTGGTCAAGTTCCGGTATGAAAAATCCCACAAAGAGTAGGAAAATCTGATGAGGCGAGGATGGGCACTACAATGCCGGGCTGTTTCTTCACGAGTATCCTGTTCTTGATCCCGATTTCGACGCTCCTGAGCTCCGGGAGCTGCCATGGCCGGATCTTCTCCTTTGAGATGCACCACAGATTCTCCGACACTGTGAAGCGGTGGGCCGATTCCACCGGAAAACTCGCTAGTTTCCCGCCCAAGGGGAGCTTCGAGTACTACGACGTCCTTGCCCTCCGCGATCGCCTCATCCGCGGCCGTCGCCTGTCGGAGACTGACTCGTCGTCGTCGCTCACTTTCTCTGACGGGAACTCCACTTTTCGTATCAGCTCTCTCGGATTGTAAGTGCGTTTTCCTCTGGTTATTTACCGTTAAATTGCGAAATTTCTCTATCTGGGCACGTTTGATTCGGTTTTTGTGTTGTGATTTCGGTATTAGTTTGCATTACACGACGGTTCAATTGGGCACACCGGGGCTGAAGTTCATGGTGGCTCTTGACACGGGCAGCGATCTTTTCTGGGTACCTTGTGATTGCGGTAGATGTGCACCGACCGAAGGCGCTGCTTATGCTTCTGTACGTTCCAAATTCTATCTACTGAACTTGGCAATTGCAACTTGAGCTTTGTTCAGTTCTGGATTGTGCTCTGTCATCGAACTTCTGCTGTACTTTGTTTCATGCTGTTTGATGCTTTGTCGAGCTACTAAGTGAACTATAGAATTCATCTGACTTTAGCAACCATGTTGGAGTTCCCATGAATCAGACTAGGTGATCTTTCTGGGTTTCTACATTGTTTTTTGTGAATGTCTTGAGATGGTTTCTAAGCTTGCTACATCGCTTTTGTAGGAGTTCGAACTCAGCATCTACAACCCTAAAATTTCATCCACGAGCAAAAAGGTGACCTGCAATGACAGCTTATGTGCACAGCGTAACCAGTGCCTTGGAACATTCAGCACTTGCCCTTACATGGTATCTTATGTCTCTGCTGAAACTTCGACGTCTGGTATTCTTATGGAAGATGTTCTGCACTTGGCAACAGAGGATGAGAGTCCAGAACGCGTTAAGGCGTATGTCACATTCGGGTGAGTTGTCTTAAGTCTGTGTTTCCTTCTAAGTGGTAATATCTGCATTTTCTGGTTTTTGCGGTACTCTTGTATGCTGAGGTGAAAAATACGCAGCTGTGGACAGGTTCAAAGTGGTTCCTTTCTGGACATAGCTGCTCCGAATGGGTTGTTTGGTCTGGGCATGGAAAAGATCTCTGTTCCGAGCATTTTGTCAAGGGAAGGTCTAATCGCCGATTCTTTCTCCATGTGTTTTGGGCATGATGGAGTTGGAAGGATCAGCTTCGGGGATAGGGGAAGTTCTGATCAGGAAGAAACACCACTTAACGTGAACCCATTGCAGTAAGTGGTAATCACTTAAGCACTTACTGTCCCTGTTAGAACTGACAAATCAGAATGTGTGCTTTTGGTTTAGCTAGCTTAACCTGTAGACAATCCTTCTGACTGCCGAATTGCGTTGCAGCCCAAACTACAATGTCACAGTGGCACGGGTGCGTGTGGGGACAAGTCTAATCGATGCTGAGTTCACTGCTCTCTTTGACACCGGAACCTCTTTTACTTATTTGGTTGACCCAATGTATACACGAGTTTCAGCGAGTGTGAGTACTTAAAACAACGTCAGATGTTCCTTTTGAAACTTGTTCCAGTAGCTCTACAATTTAGATCTTCTTCTTCTTCTTGTTCAGTTCCATTCTCAGGCCCAAGATAAACGTCATCAGCCAGATTCAAGGATCCCTTTTGAGTATTGTTATGACATGAGGTGCAGCTCCTGTTATTCGCTGTTCCTTTTCCATGGTTCTGACAATTGTATCTAACTTCTCTTCTATGATATGCAGCTCGGAGGCAAATCCCAGTTTGGTACCGAGTATGAGCCTGACGATGAAAGGAGGCGGCCACTTCAGCGTCAATGATCCTATAATTGTCATTTCCACCGAGGTACATTCCATCACACACAATCACACTTTTGTCCTTTCGTTACCTCCGAATCACAAAAGTTCAGATCTTGTTGATACATTTCGACAGGGTGAACTTATATATTGCCTAGCTGTTGTCAAAAGCTCAGAACTGAACATAATCGGGCGTAAGTCTCTCGTGATCTCTCTCTCGATCACACTATTCACCTTCAGCTCCGGATTCTTCCTTGACAAATGAAAGAATCTGGAGTCATTAATGAGCAAAATCTTGCGGAATCAAAAGTGGCTCTCTTTGTGTGATCTACAGAAAACTTCATGACTGGATATCAGGTGGTATTCAACAGAGAAAAACTTATACTGGGATGGAAGAAATTCGACTGTGAGTAAATCTCCCGTTCTTATCCTCTAACCCTTGTGATGTAATGTTCATTCTTGCTCTCTACGATGATATAGGCTATGATATCGAAAAGACCAAGAAGACGAAGCTTTCCCGAGCAAACAGAACAGAGGTGTCGCCTGCCATGGCAGCCGGAGTAGGCACTGCTCCTTCTCCTCCTCAACCATCCAAAACGAGCCATGATGCCTCACTTAGTTCCTCTTCCGACAGACGGATTGTCTCAAAGCCTCTTGTCTCTCTGCAGATTAGCGTTCATGTTTTGCTTCTGCTGCTTGTAGCTATCTGTTCTTGACATTTTCATTCAATCTCTTCTCTCGCTATCCCAAAAAAAAAAGGCCATCCATTTGTTGTATCATTACAACCATAGCATCAAAAGTATATAGCCTTTGTACAAGAATGTTCTTTCTTGAAATCTGAGATGAGATCAGATAATTTTACAGTAATGGCTTAAAAAAATCGATGGTATCATTAAACGGAAACTTGTTTAAAAAAAAAACAAGTATTGTTTAGGATGAAAATCTAATGAATCTCCTCTCTAATGCTCAAAGCCGTTTGATAGGAGAAAAAGTCAATAATCCGATGACAAGCTCAATAGCCAATCAGATCCGACCTTGGATTTACCCTAAGGGTGTTTTTGTAAATTCGTCTTCTTCTCTTTGTCCAAGAGCCGCATCATAGTTCTCCTCCTGGTTAAAAAAAATAAAAAAATAAACAGATATAAAAAACCCTTTTAGAGCGAAACTCAAAAAAACAGGAGAGAGAGAGCCTCCACTGCCGCTTCCATCGTCTCCTTCTCCTTCCCGGAATTGTTTTGGGAACTTTCCTGTTCCTTGTTTTTTTTTTTGCATTATACAAACCCTAACCCTAATTTCTCCGCCGCAGAGATTCTCAAATTTTCCCCGATTTTTTCTCTATCGTTTTTTTTTGTTTGGGCCATCGGTAATCGTTATTAGATACGGTGTTGATCAAGCTCATCGACTCACGAACAAACCCTAATTTTTGTCCGATGATGGCGTCAGATGATGTTGCTAGTCCCAATACCACCACCTCTTCCTCTGCTTTGTCTCCTCGCGTCATGAGTGATAATCATGGTAGCCCTACCGCCGCCGCAGGCGTATCGCGCCGCTCGGGTCGGCAGGTCTCATCGCCGTGGACCCAAATCGTCCGCGGCGAATCAGAGCCGATCGCCGCTGCTCCTTCCTCCCCTCAATCCAAGGCGGCGATCGAGTCGATTGTTTCCGCTTCCGCTTCCGCCGCACCCTCCGCTCCTCTCCCGGCGGCGGCTGCGGCAGCGGCGGAGGATGAGAAATCAGAGAGCTCCGCGGGAGTTCTTGGCAATGCGGGAAAGAAACCGGCTTGGAACAGGCCGTCCAATGGGGCTTCTGAGGTCGGGCCCGTCATGGGGGCAGCATCCTGGCCTGCTCTGTCTGAGACCACGAAAGCTCCTTCGAACAAGTCTTCTTCTGATTCGTTAAAAAGCTTGTCCGATGGATCGCCATCGTCATCATCCGTCCCTGTTTCCCAGGTTTGAATGATCGGCATGATTTTACGGGTTAATACGATTTTGCTTTGTTTGGCATAAAAGAGAAAATTTTATGCCTTCTGTGCCTGATATTTTGGTCCTGGGTTGATTTTAACCGAGATATTATTCAGATTGATGCAGTTTTGTGATATTTGGTCGCTGGAAAAGTTCAGCAGACTAATTTGCCGAAGTTTTTGAGAAACCTATACTCTTCCAATTGAAATAAACCTTAAAATAAGGCTGGTTGGTTGTGGATGTGTTTCATGTTGAATGCGGATTCTTGATACAATTTTCCTTCACGTATCAACAAAAAGCTTCAGTTTTTGCTGTTGAGATACTGACTTCTTTTAGGGTCAATGGATGAGAGTTGTATGTTCTGAAACGCTTGCAAGGTTTATGGGGTTGAGTTTCTGTTTTTCTGAATCTTATGTGTGGGAACTGGTAAATTGTTTGTTTTTCCACTTGTGCACTGTCTCATTTGCTCGCATTAGATGCTCTATCGTTGATGTTGACTTAATTCCAATTTAATAATGTTCAGATGCTGTTGTCTTTGGTTTAGGGAACGGGAAATGCATCTGTTCCGGCCCCAGGTTCATTTGCTGAATTGCCTTTGCACAATCCTTCTCCTAGAGGCCACCACAGTCAAAGGAATGGTCTCCCCTCACAATCCCATGGCGGTAACGATAACCAGTCCCAACGGAACTCATACAGGAACCAAAATGGTAATCATCATCAAAATCATGGGGGCAGGCGCATTCAGGAACATGGGAATCATAATTGGAACAGAAACTTTAATGCGAGAGATGGACATGCACCACAGCAGAGGGGTACTCCAGGGTTTGTTGGACATGCACCACAGCAGAGGGGTACTCCAGGGTTTGTAAGACGTGCTCCACCCCCTGTGCAGCAGCCTATTCCTGTCCCGTTTATGGCAGCCCAGCCTATTCAACCTTTTGGTAGTCCTGTGGCCTTTCCTGGTGAGGGACACTGAAGGTTTCCTTTTGTGTTTCAAAGTTCTGTGTCTTGTTCTAATGTTTTTTCATCATTTCAGAATTGGTGTCGCCTATTTATTATCCACGCATGCCTTTCATTTCTGCACCTGTTCCGGCTCCTGTCTTCTACCAAGTTCAAGACATTCCCTTATATACCAGAATACAGAATCAAATACACTTCTATTTTAGGTAATACCTTGTTAGATTTTCACACTTTATCTTGTTTTGTTTTGGTTTTTGACTCAGTGGTAACATTACCAACTGCTCAAATCTCCATCAGAAGGAGGAATTTGATTGCAAATATTGCTTTTGTTACAGTGAAGAGAATTTAATTAAAGACACATACCTGCGGAAGTTCATGGATGATCAGGGTTTTGTTCAGATACAATTGATTGCAGGTTTCAGAAAGGTGATATTCATTTTCTGTATACGTTTTTGTGCTTTATGACATTATCATTCTGTTCTGTCTTCTTTGATTGTTCATGGTAAGATCTCTTCCATGCCAAAGTTTAACACTTGTTATTTCTGATTTGGATGACACATGATATTTGGTATACTGAGAAGTTATATATTCGTGCTAATAGAATCTTATTTTTGTTGAAAATTCATTTATATTCCTAATCATCACATGACACAATCATACAAATAGGTTTTAGGCAAATGGAGTACTTGTTACGAAGACACGTTACAGAATCCAATGCAACCTAATTTATCGTCGAGATTAATGATTAAAAGCATCTTTCGTTCCTGTCTTCTATGCTGCATTCCATGAAATGAGACAATGTATTGTCATCTGGTTCTATCTCACCAATTTCCTTTTCCTTATTCATTTTTTGCTTCCCAAGTAAGTGAAGCATTTTGTTACTTGGTTTCAAATCACGGTTCTAGTGTTGTACTCTCTTTTTAGTTATCTCTGCCATGCTTCCTTGTTTTCTTTTTCAGGTTGTAGGACTGACTGATAATGTCCAGCATATTTTGGAGGCTCTGCAAGGTTCACCTGTTGTTGAAGTGCAGGTACTCTTGAGTCTTCAAATTTCTCATTTCTTATCATTCTCATTTGATATCCAGTGATTAAACTTGTTAAATTGACGCCTCAAGGGTTGAAGTCAAACAGTCAATTTGTCATGTTCTGCTATCGGTTGAGGTGTTTTGAGGCATATCTGGTTGGATACACGTTCAACTGATTATGAGCGCACTCTTTTTAGGGTGACAAAGTAAGGAGGCGCCATAATTGGCAGAAATTCTTGCTTCCTGCTAGTATGCGGACCCCCATTGTTTCAAGTCCCCAGTCTGCAGAGAGGGTGGGTTCTCTGGCAACACAAGTCCAAACCCTTACCCTCGAGCAGAATGCAACGGAGCACGTTGGTTCATCCAGTCATCCTGTTGAATCAAGTAAAACTCTCTCAGATGATCCAGACGTTCAGCAACATCTGACCATTGGTGGCAATCCAGCAGAAAACTGCAGTGACACAGCTGTTGTCTCTTCTCGACCTTCAAAGTCGAACTGAAGATGTGTTTCTGCTGCTGCACACATCTCAGCAACTCTTGGAAGAAGGAGAGATGGCTTCCGGAGCAACAAAGCTCGTCTTGTTGGAGCTGTTGGTGTTGGTTGACATTGGTACGTGGATATATTATTTTGTCCTGTGCAATACAGGAAAACAATAACAGAGGGGAACCCCCTGAAAACCCAAAAAAAAAAAATTGATAAAACATAAGAAAACCCCAAAAAGACAGGAAAAAAAAAGGAAAAGAAGACAAAAAGATCAAACTCGGCTTTATCATATCCTAGCTAGAGAAACTGGACGTATTTATGGTTTTTTTTTGTTTTTGTTTGGTGGGATGTTGCTGGCTTTTGTTCTTTATTTTATATTTTTGATACATAAGGGTTGGTGGTCATAATCCTGTTCCTTGCCTCTTCTGAGTCTTGAGTGTCTGTCTGAGGCTGTCATTTTGTTCCTTCAGACTCGCTCTGGGTTCTTTTATGGCATAGAAAGATGTGATCAATGTGGAACGGTTGGTTTTGCGACATTGTGGATTTGATGGATGTTCTGCTTCCAACTCTTTTTTAATACAAACCGTATTATATATATATATATATATATATATATAGATATATATGGGTGTGTGAATGAATACTTGATGGGTGTAGATTTGGGGTAACGGGTATTGTGTTTGCTTGTGTTTCATCTCTGTTTTGTTGTGACAGAATTTGCCGGTTACATGAGTTGCTGACATGCCATGTCCTTTTCTTCTGTGTTGAAGAAGAAGGTAATGTCTGCATATGCATGCATGCATGTACGTATGTATGTATGCACCTTTTTTGCATGGTTTCATGTGTGTGTGGGGAGGGTAAGTGTCCCCATTTTTCCACTAATGTTTCGGTGTCGGAGCACCTTCACAGTCACACGCAGAGAAAGATAGTAAAAGCCAATCATTGGCCTCTGGGCTCTTACCCACGTTACAAAATCTAACATTATTATATTTATTTATTTGGTCACCTACTATTTAACCATAAACAGCAGTGATACATGAAAAAAATTATTACCCTTCAATTTTACCAAATTATTATTCCTTAATCCAACGGTTAGCATTGTTTTGGGTCATTCTCTTATTCTCCGTTTCTTCTTTTATCACTTTAATAACGACAATAATTACGACTACGTACAGTTTCCTACAGTCTAGTTGAGACTTGAAAAGAATTGGATGGTACATTTTCTCGTTATCCGTTGGATCATTATTTTAATAAATAATCGAAACTCGCAACTCTACAGTTACAAATTCAGGCTTTGGACGTAATTATTTAATATTTAAATAAGGTCCACATGTTAGTTGTCCCTCTTCTCTTTTTTATCTTTTTTTTTCTCTAGATTTTGTATGTAGCATTTCTTTTTTTTTTTTCGCATGTACATTGTAATTTTATTTTATTAAGAAAAGAGAACCAATAATATATATATATGTGTGTGTGTGTGTGTATCCAATCATGTGTTTTTTAGTTATAATAATCGACTTTTCTTATATTGTATGATCATAAAAGTTTATACTAAGGCTAAGGTGAATAACAAAATTTAACAGCCAAAAATCCAAAGTATTTTAGACATTAATTAAATTATGTATTACGTCATATTTGAAAACTAAACCCATAAAGGGAAAAAAAAACAATTTTTGTGTGAAAATTAAGGGTTCGATGCAGAAGATTCACTTACCACTAACTGCAACTAAAGGAGATTTACTTATGGGTTCGATGCAGAAGACAAATCCACGTTTTAAGTAAGCTCTAGTGGTGGCATTACATAAATAATTACGGATTTATCATTAAATTGTTTCAGAATACTCTCTCTCTCCCTCCCCAACTGGAGCCAACCATCACACCAGAAATCACCAATGAAAGAGAAGCTCTGTTATGTTATGTTCTGTCCTCTCTCGCCTGTTACATTACCACATCATCCGACCCCCCCTCTCCCTCTCTCTGTGTATATATATACCCGTTGTTGTATAAGACAGTGACCCCCAAAGAACTAGGCTGCTTCTGTTGTTCTGTTCTCCAATGTTGCCATCAGCAGAGCAACAGGGCAGCCATAGAGTGTCTGACAGGAACAAGAACAAGAATCTCAACAGAGTTTCTTCTTCCACTTCTTCACCATCATCATCAACATCCTCTTCCTCTTTACCCACCAACTCCCAGACCCAGAACAAACATCCAACCACCATGGAAGAAGTCTGGAAAGACATCACCCTTTCTTCCCTTCACCACCACCAAAACCCTCATGATCCGAGGCTAGGCAGCCACCAGGCCCACGATCCAAACTCCATCTTCCAGGATTTTCTCAACAGGCCACTGAACCAGGAACCACCCGCGAGTCTGAGCATGGGTTCCTCAAGCAATGGGGACACAAGCACTGCCATTGCTCTGTACGGCTCTCCTCTCCCAGCTCCTGCAACTGTTCTCAGCTTGAATTCCAGTGCTGCATTCGAGCTTCTTGATAACTCAGATTCTCATCTGTTGCAGAACCACCCCCAACTCTCCTCAAACGTGTCCTCCTTTACCACCCCTTTCGAGGCTCTTGCCTCAGCGGGTCGGTTCGGTTGTTATGAGAAGAAAAGAGGCCAAGATTCTGATGGAAGTTCAAGTGATATACGCCACAAGCGTATGATCAAGAACAGAGAATCTGCGGCTCGTTCCCGGGCCAGGAAACAGGAATGTCCCTCTCCTCTCTCTCTCACCCCCACTTCTTTTCTATATGATTTGAGATGGGGAACGAATGAGGTGTTTTTGCATCTGAGAAGCTTTTGCATTTGTGGGTTCCGGGTTTTGTGTTTTTACAGGCTTATACGAATGAGTTGGAGCTTGAAATTGCTCACCTGCAGGCAGAAAATGCAAGACTCAAGAGAGAACAATATCAGGTAAACAAGCAATTAAGTTCATATTATCATTCTCTACTCCCATCTCAAACAACTTCAACACACTGCACTACTAACTCCTGACTGGAAGATTCTGATATTTATGCACATTTTGGTGTTTGTATTTATGGAAAATAAAGCAGAGGATGGCGGCAGCATCCCAGCTTCCCAAAAAGAACAAGCTTCAGAGGTCCTCAACAGCTCCATTTTGAAAAGAAAAAAAAATCTACCAGTCCCTCACTGTTTTGGTGTCTAAATGTGTTCCTTATGGAAAGAAAAAAGGGAAAGTTTGTACCTTTTTTTTAAGATATAACTAAGCTAAAACTTGTAGTGAGCTTAAGAAATGCAGGGGAAAAGAAGATGTAAAAATACATAGAAAAAGAAAGGGTCTTTCCATTTCCTAAGGCAAACACACTCTTACCTTTCTGATGCCGTTTTCCTTACACAAAGCTTTTGACTTCTGTCTAATTTCTCCCACAAATACTTTGTAATTCCATACCTTATCCTACCTAATGCAGAAAGATCATGATTTTTTTTTAATTAAAAATATGATAAGTGATGGTTACTGTTGAGCTATTTGGGTTCAGAGGATCTCTATGTAAGCAGCATCAGTAACCAAGAGACAAAAAAAAAAAACTATGTATGGTGCAATGATGTGTGTGTGTGAACAAGTGAAAAGGAACAATATCAAAGAATGGGGCTGAAAGTAGGTCCTGCTTTAAAGGGGTCAATTGCAAAAATACCCTTAAATAATACATAAGACTTCAAGTGATACCCTTCATAAAAAAAAGAAAAGAGACAACATCAAATATAACCTTATAAAAGTAGTTTTCCCATTATACCCTTTATTTTTTCTATAATATAATAAAATAAAAATAACTTTTTTATATTTCTCTCTCCTGTCTCCATCTCTCTTCCGTTCTCTCTTTTCTTTCTCTCTCTCCTCTCTCCATCTCTCTCCTGTATTACACACACTCTCTCTTCGAGCTCCTCTTGTACAGTGTGAATTCTCACCAAATTTGGTGAGAGAAACAAGTGAAATCACCAAAAATCTCATCCAATAAGAATAGATCTCATGTATAACTAAGTTTTCTTCTTTAAATTCTGTTATATATTTTGGGTATTTAGGGTTTTTTTTATGAAAGAGATTTGTTGTTTTCATGTTTATATTCGACCCATATAGTATAAATAAATAAAATGGGACATACATATCAATAGCATGTTGTATTTTGTATACTTAATCGAGTTAAATCAATATTATCATGATTCACATTAGTCAAATTGATCACATTAATTAAACTATGTCAAACTGGTCAAACTCTACGAAATAATCAGAATCGTGTTAGGATAACACTATTAGCACTTTAGGGTTTCTTTAGGAGAACACACATTGTGAGAAACAAAAAGGCGTTAAAATTTGAGAGCTAGATTTAGATTCATAGTAAGACACTTAATGAATGGGGTGATAATTGATCAGTTTACAGTTTGCAGTAGGCAAATTTGCGAAAACCGATAAGGTGTGATGAGTTTGACGAGTACTGACGGTGTGACGAGTTTGACGGTTTGACGAGTTTGTGAAAACAAACTGTTGGTCTAAATTAAGTTTTGATGGTTCAATGTGGTGTATATGAGTCATTATAACATATTTAACGAGTTTTTGATAACCGGAACTCTTATGGAAAAAAACTATTTCCTACCCTAAGCCAATGTGTTAGGAGAACACTATTAGAACTTTAGGGTTTCTTTGGGAGAACATACATTGTGAGAAACAAAAAGGCATTAAAATTTGAGAGCTAGATTTAGATTCATAGTAAGACGCTTAATGAATGGGGTGATAATTGATCAGTTTACAGTTTGCAGTAGGCAAATTTGCAAAAACCGATAAGGTGTGACGAATTTGACGAGTACTGACGGTGTGACGAGTTTGACGGTTTGATGAGTTTGTGAAAACAAACCGTTGGTCTAAATTAAGTTTTGATGGTTCAATGTGGTGTATATGGGTCATTATAACATATTTAACGAGTTTTTGATAACCGGAACTCATGTGGGAAAAACTATTTCCTACCCTAAGCCAATGTGTTAGGAGAACACTATTAGAACTTTAGGGTTTCTTTGGGAGAACATACATTGTGAGAAACAAAAAGGCATTAAAATTTGAGAGCTAGATTTAGATTCATAGTAAGAAGCTTAATGAATGGGGTGATAATTGATAAGTTTACAGTTTGTAGTAGACAAATTTGCAAAAACCGATAAGGTGTGACGAGTTTGACGAGTACTGACGGTGTGACGAGTTTGACGGTTTGACGAGTTTGTGAAAACAAACCGTTGGTCTAAATTAAGTTTTGATGGTTTAGTGTGGTGTATATGGGTCATTACAACATATTTAACGAGGTTTTGATAACCGGAACTCATGTGGAAAAAAACTATTTCGTACCCTAAGCCAATGTGTTAGGAGAACACTATTAGAACTTTAGGGTTTCTTAGAAACAAAAAGGCGTTAAAATTTGAGAGCTAGATTTAGATTCATAGTAAGACACTTAATGAATGGGGTGATAATTGATAAGTTTTCAGTTTGTAGTAGACAAATTTGCGAAAACCGATAAGGTGTGACGAGTTTGACGAGTACTGACGGTGTGACGAGTTTGACGGTTTGACGAGTTTGTGAAAACAAACCGTTGGTCTAAATTAAGTTTTGATGGTTCAGTGTGGTGTATATGGGTCATTATAACATATTTAACGAGTTTTTGATAACCAGAACTCATGCGGGAAAAAACTATTTCCTACCCTAAGCCAATGTGTTAGGAGAACACTATTAGAACATTAGGGTTTCTTTGGAAGAACATACATTGTGAGAAACAAAAAGGCATTAAAATTTGAGAGCTAGATTTAGATTCATAGTAAGACGCTTAATGAATGGGGTGATAATTGATAAGTTTTCAGTTTGTAGTAGACAAATTTGCGAAAACCGATAAGGTGTGACGAGTTTGACGGTTTGACGAGTTTGTGAAAACAAACTGTTGGTCTAAATTAAGTTTTGATGGTTCAGTGTGGTATATATGGGTCATTACAACATATTTAACGAGTTTTTGATAACCGGAACTCATGTGGAAAAAAACTACTTCCTACCCTAAGCCAATGTGTTAGGAGAACACTTTAGGGTTTCTTTGGGAGAACAAACATTGTGAGAAACAAAAAGGCGTTAAAATTTGAGAGCTAGATTTAGATTCATAGTAAGACACTTAATGAATGGAGTGATAATTGATAAGTTTACAGTTTGCAGTAGGCAAATTTGCGAAAACCGATAAGGTGTGACGAGTTTGACGAGTACTGACGGTGTGACGAGTTTGACGGTTTGACGAGTTTGTGAAAACAAACCGTTGGTCTAAATTAAGTTTTGATGGTTCAGTGTGGTGTATATGGGTCATTATAACATATTTAACGAGTGTTTGATAACCGGAACTCATGCGGGAAAAAACTATTTCCTACCCTAAGCCAATGTGTTAGGACAACACTATTAGAACTTTAGGGTTTCTTTGGGAGAACATGCATTGTGAGAAACAAAAAGGCGTTTTAGATTCATAGTAAGACACTTGATGAATGGGGTGATAATTGATAAGTTTACAGTTTGCAGTAGACAAATTTGCGAAACCCGATAAGGTGTGACGAGTTTGACGAGTACTGACGGCGTGACGAGTTTGAAAGGATCTCTAATCCACCTTTTCAGATTCCCGTTTAGAAGCGGTCCTAGGAGAAGAAATGATCTCTTCATTAGTCTCTTCAACATCATCAGATTTCTGCTCAGAAGCGGTCCTAGGAATAGAAGGAATAAACTGTCGACTCCCTACACATGATCAATTAAACAATAAATACAAATGGTCAAACCGTTCAAACTTGTCAGACCTAATAAGTGTGACTGGTATGACTGATATGAACATACCTCGTCCATGATGTAAAAAAGCAACATTCTCTTCTGACCATTCCATTGAAACATCAACATCATCCTCTTTGTTGTTTTTTTCCTCTGACCAATCCACATCTTCAATGGTGATTCCTGCCCTCTTCAGAACTCTCTCGAATTTTTCCATTATCCTTCTCTCCACTTTGTCACATATTCAAATGTGATGAAACGCATCGGTGTAACTTCACTAGTGGATGACTACTTTCATCTTCATGTAGATTAAACAAAATGTGTTCTTCTTCCCCCTATGTTTGAAGAACACTTCGAATACCCTAACAAAATAGCTCGTGTAATCAGTGACAACATTATACCATATTTAACTCGTATGTCAATAGTACATACCTGTGAAGTTACACCGATGCGGTTCATCACATTTGAATATGTGACCACAGATAATGACATGTTCGGTGATCGAGTATCTAACGGGCACACCGTTCAGAATAAACCACAACTCTTTCACGTTTCCTTCAAGCTTTAGTGCGCGATGTAAAAAGACAGACACCAGAACCATCTTTAATGTGTCTTCACATTGAAGATGGAAAATATGTCGAAACTGTGACTCTTTGTTGAAATATGTTCATTCTTCATTTGTTAGAGCCTTTTTAAGAGAACGGGTGGTTTGAACCGGATAACACTTTGTTGTGATCTTGGAAACATGATGAATGTCGTTAAAATCATATACGAAAGAAACCTGCAAAAAGAAAATTAACATTTATTATCAGTTTCGTTTCAATAGTAACCAGATGTATCAGAATCGTCAAACTTGTCAAACTCGTCATACCATTCAGTCGCGACGACTGTGACTAGTATGACCAAATTAGCATCGTGTGCAATTTGACGAGTGTGACTGGTTGTGACCATTTTTACTAGTTTGGTTAGACTAGTCTAACTCGTTATACCCTTCAAGTGTGACCATTGTGACTAGTACGACCATTGTGTCTCACCATGACAACTTCAATATGACTCGAATTTGTGAAAAAACTTATTTCCCACTTTCTAACCGAAACCCTAATTTTTCTGAACTATATAACTCCACTAATATGATTTAATATATCTCATTTGGACACTATAACTGTGATTCGAGTTCAATATTACTCGAATTGAGCAAAACAATGTTTCTTAGTTTTTTTAGCGAAATCCGTATTTTTCTAATCTATACTACGCAAATATGACCCATTTTAGTCAGTTTTATTATTGTTTATTGTTTACCCAAACACACACACATGAAATTCTAAAAAAACTTCTCACTTTCTCGGCGAGTTCAAGTACAAAACGCACCTGGATGTCTTCGTAAATAGGAGTCGAAGACGATGAAGGAGACGAAGCCATCTGAAGTGCGAAGATACTGCAAGAAGAAATCGCACTCTATCCTTGGGGTTACAAAGAAATCGTAGAACCAACAGACAGAGGAAGAAGAAAACTATTCAATATTTGATTTTTATGTTTTTTTTTTCAAATTCCAAACTCCACTCTCTAATATTTGCTCTTTTCGTTCTGTCATTGACACGTGTCCTTTTCATTAAGGGTAACAATGTCATTTTAGCATTTGAGAGTTTTTTTTTTGAAACCCTAATTTTGAAGGGTAGTACTTAAAGTGTCTGCGCACATTTAGAGGTATTTTTGTAATAACGCCGCTTTAAAGCTTGCATATGGAACAACACAAAGGACCTATCACTGAGCATTTATATTTCTTCAGCTCTATTATCACATCTTTCTCTCTTGTTTTGTTTGGATTCCACAGTGGCCAACAAGTTGCCATTCTGATTGAACCCCCAAACCAATGGGAAATCAGTCACACACACCCACTTTAATTTGGTCAAGGAAGAATATGATAGGCGAATAATACCAACCACTCCCAACTTTTCTTTTACTTGTACACTGCTTTTAAGGCATTGTTTTATCAAGTGAGCTGTTGTTTCTTCCCTACAATATACACTATCAATCACCTAATGGGGATAAGCCTAAATGATGATGTCCAAGAAAATGCTTCCTCATCAGTTTTCAGGTCTTGGTTCTGTATGCTTTATTAGCAACCAGAAACAAAAGATGAGAGAACATCCCGGGCTCATATCGTGTAAACATAGTATCATCAAGTTGAGGGGAATCTTTACCAAAAGTGGGAATCTATCCTTCCATTATGTATTGTTCCCTCCCTCTATGGCCAAATTTCTATCTTCATGTCCCATGGTGCACTATGCACCCATCAACTCAGCATCCAATACTACTTTGGATATTGCTTTTAGCTATCTTCGTACGGTCACGCTTATAATCTAGTGTATAGCTATATCAAACTTTTGTGCTTGTTATACTAACCAGAACAATGATTTAGAATATCAATCTTATCCTACCACCAGTCTCTTTGTATCATTTGGGTTTGCCTTCTATTGCCCCAACAACATTTTTAGTGAAATTCCAGATGGATCAAACATAAGATAACATGAAGATACTACCAGAATTCAACTCAGTCAAGCAGCATTATAATTAAGAAAGGGACAGTGAAACCAACAGCTCTAGTAACTAGAAACATAAGACAGAATAATTCATTGATATGAGGAAAAAGTCACAGCAGTATGCATCAGGCAAAGCTAACAGAGAGAAAGAGACATCCAACAGATGTGGTGGAACAAGTTGCTACCTTATTCTGATCCAATAGTCCATCAGTTTTTGGAGCAAAACAAAATCGTCAAATGTTTGAACATCGCCTTCCTCTGAAAGTATCTTGCCACCCCTTGGAGCCAAGCATGGAATCCCGTATTTCATCTATCATGTTCACATAACTTAAAATCAGTATCCATGTCTACAATGAGGTAAAAGCTAAAAGGAATAACACCAAATCTATTAAGAAGAAAAAAATGAGACCAATCCAGTCTTCTTTAGGATGATTCCCCCACTCATCCCGATTCAAACTCCGAATACATTCCCTTTTAGTTGGAACCGAGCAAAAACCAGAAAGAATCAGATCCAGCTACATCAATCCCCAAAGGAAAATTCCTTAAAGACGATTCTCCAATTGCATTGAACGCAAAACAAAATACCATAGATAAATTTTGAATGTGCCAGGTTTGGACAAGCCATTCTAGAAGAAGATTTGAAAAGTTTCCAACTTTATGACGTAGCAAGTACCAGAGATATCGAAATTCATCGTGGTTGGAACGAAACAAGACATCTAGCCCTACTAGCCTTGTAGAGGAGCTTGGATCGAGTAAAAGAGGGTTTATCTCGTATCCTTCAAATGCTCGTACGCATCAAAGTAATAAGGAAACGGGATAATTTTGGATCCATACGAATTCAGGGACATGATAGTACTAAGACACAAACAAGCACAATCCTTCTTCATGCAACAGATGCTTATGTGAAAAGAGACGCCAATGGCGTTACTGATAAGCGAATTCGCTTTCTCGCAAAGCAAGCCCTGACGGAAAATTCAGCAGACTGCGTAAAAAAAGTAAAAACCCACAACCGAAATCTTCATAAAAAATGCAAGGACCGATCGAATCGAACCTCAGGGACTGCTTGGAGAGAGGGGACACGAGAATCGTCAGTTACATATCCCGCGTCTTTCAGCAGTACTGTGCTAAATCTCACCATGTTTCAGCTCCGAGCTTAGTTTTATTTTCTAGGGTTTAATCTAATTTCCTGGAATTTCGTCAGGAAATCGAGTTGAGGTACGAGCACCGAGACGTCACAGTTTTGGTCAGTGACCGCTGTTCCCCGGCAGGGAGTAAGCTGCAAAGCGCACATTGTTCAGGGTTCTGTCCGTAAATTATAAAATTTTTAATTAGGCCCTTAATTCTCCTATGTTACAATCAGATACCAATGTTCAATAGGAACTGACATCGTTCGGATATCTGAATTTCTTATTTTTTAGGATACCATATTCACATCCGAATCTTTAAATGAATCTGAGTACCTTACATTCCCATAAAAATAAATATAAAATCTCGAAACATTAAATTTTAATTTTAAGAGTGGCCATTAAATTTTAATTTTAAGACATTCATGAACATGATGGTGGTCATTTCGGAGATTCTGTTATTTCGGTTATAGTAATTATAACCATTTGATTTTTATATAAATTTTGATTTGATTTGATTCGGTTATTTTTCGGGTTCGGTTTGGTTTGATTTCGGTAAAAAAACTCATTTTTTCAAAGAAATTGTTGGTTTTCTCGAGTATTTTTTTATTCGGTTTCGATTTTTTCAAGTTTAAAGAAATCATAACCGTTCAGTTTTGATATCGGATTCGGTTCGGATACAACTTATTCGGTTCGGTTCAATTATTCGGTTAATAACCAAAATGATCACCACTGTGAATAACAATGAATGGAAAAAGTAAAACTGAGACTATATCATATAGAAAAAGAAGAGAAATTAATTGTATGATACATAGAGCTGAAATATCCGATGAAACTCCAACAAAACTAATTTACATATGAAGATGTCATGAATGAAACACAGTTTTACGAGAAGTTCGCGCTTGTCAGAGATACGACAAGAACAAGAACACCGCTTACCTATATATATTACCATATGTTTTCCGTGTAGTAAGAACAGTGAAGAACTTAATAGTCATGGAGAGATTCACTCAGTGTTCCATGAACTGAGACGTTGGGGGGCTTATCTTGGTCTTCTCTTGAGCTGCAGGAACAGATGCTAGTTACATTAATTACCGTTCTGTTTGTTTTTTTAAAAAAGATTTTGTAAAATCGGATTAGTGTTTATGTCTATGTACCGTAAGCACCACGGATATCGACTTCTCGCCATTCTTGAACGAGGGCACAGCAGCAACACATGAGATGCGAGAGGAAATCATCTATAAATCCTCCCTGCCAAACCCAACAGATCAGTGTCTGAATACACTAAGCCATTGTTCTTTTCTGTGATCAGTGTCTGAATACACTAAACCATTGTTCTTTTCTGTGATCAGTGTCTGAATACACTAAAACTCAAATCTGTTTTCCTCAGCATGCAATCATAACCAGTAAGTAGCTTGTGTAGATATCGAGATTCATGGTGTGATGGATTGTATAGAGTGAAAGAGAATGAAGAGCATGCACGTACCGTGATGTTGAGCCTCTTCCGGAGCTTTCCCCTTATGCAGCAAGTGTAGCAGCAGCACGACAATATCAAGGAATATGCCATTAGCTCGTTACAAGTTTCAGCTGACGCTGGAGAGGCAAGAGAACAAATGCTGATTATTGATCAAGACTATATGAATCCCAGATCGGATAAATAAAGTAACGGGTAGTTGTTTTCATCAGAGAAGAATTCTTACAGGTGTGCCTGTTTGTTGCCACAGTGACAATCTTTGCCAGTGTGCCACACGGGAAGAAGAATGTCTTCAAGCCTGTGGTAAAACCATTATATTTGTGAGGGAGGGGGGGAGTGGTCTTAGTAATTACATTCCAAGTTAGAAGGAGAGGCTTACAAAGAGAAGGTTCTGAACAACAATCCAGCAAGTCAGTCTCCCATTCTTCACGGTGCTTTGATGATCGAGTTGAAAGCAGATCATGTCCGGAAGAGACAGAAGAAGTGGTCCTGCATAGTAAAATTACAGGTTTAGCTTAATAGAAACAATACATTCCCTTACAATTTTTTGGCCTTCCAGGCATCATTGGCATGCCCTTGTGGTCATGCAAATATTTGGAGCCATTCCCCTTTTCTCTTTAGTAGAAAGGACGCTTAAGTGGAGGAATCCACTGGTGTTATAGACTTATTTGCCTCTCGTAATTCGGTGATACCACAAACTCTACATTGAAGGAAAGCCTCATGAAGTTATAGATCTTTAGTTATATCGGAATGAGTCAGAGATGCCAACCTCGAAGCTGAACGACTACTGATTTTCTTTGGAGAGTCCTCACCATATGAATACTCTTCCTTGTTGCTGTTCTCTTTATGGGAACTTTTCTTAGATGAATCCTTTTCAGGGTCAGGTTCAACAGTAGCAGCAGCTTCGGTAACCTCGATCAGATGCTGTATAACTTCACACTGATTCACATCATAATGCGACTGTGACCGCTGCAGTTCAAGCTGCAGTTTCTGGTTTTCCTTTTTCAGCGCCTCACAGAAAGCCAAGTTAGGGTAGGAACAGGAGAGCGTCTTCTTCAGGACCGAGGCCGCTTCTCTGGTGGATTCTTGCTTCAGAATAACATCTTGCACCCTCCTATCCTCCTCATCCAATGTGTACTCCCGCTGATCACGGTCAATAACCTCTATCCTCTCCTACACATTCTCACGTTTCAGTATGCATACACACAACCAGAGTTATCATAAGTAAACACACCAAAAGATCAAACTTTTTTGCAACTACGGAATCATAACAAGGCCAATTACATACCCTTATCCGGGCATTGTCAACCAAAGTGATGAGAGGTATAATCTTGAGGTAACGATCGATCTCGTTTTGAGCTTTACGGAACTGGTAAACGATGTTCCAACCCATTGCCAACAAGTAGAGATAGCTCCTGTCCTGACAACTGTTGACCAGGATGTAAGAACGCCTCAGAGCCTCCTCGAGCTGCTCGAGCGGCTCTCTCGTCTCTGGATACTTCTTCAGCTCAGAGATCTTAAGCTGTTCGAGCAAGTTCCCGATGAGCTTGAGATGCTGAGCAAATTGCCGACAGTTCTTCTTGTGCATTCGGGCCGTGTTCGCCGCACTCACGATCATTCCGATCAATCTCACGGCGTCGAGCCCCGTGAGCTGCGCCACCGACGCGATATCGCCCAGATGATCCCATGAATGAGCCATCGACAAAGTTCTTGCTCGTACTGATCATTACCCAGATTATGTTCAGACATCAGCTTGAAACCCTAAGAAACAGTGAGATCCAAACAGTGGGGAATCCAAAAATTTACCTCTACAGCTCTGATGATTCGGATGATTGCGGGAATCGGAGAGTTGGGTCCTAGCTACTCATGCATTGTTGATGGAATCCAAATTCGAGAAGATTCGGACGCCGGATTCGAAGTTAAGACCCAAAGATTCGGATTTTCCGAAAACCCATCATTTCAGGAATCGCATTACGGATCAAAGATTCAGGTAAGAAGCAGACTTGAGTGAGGAGCAGACAGCGGGTTCTTCAACCGGAACACAAAAAAAGAAACAAAAGTAGGAAAAAAAAAGTTTATAAGATACCAATCACAAAGATTCTCAACGACTCGTCTCCGCAAGCTTTTCTACGTCAAAGATCTTCCGAAAAAAAAAGCGAAATTAAAGGAAAAAAAAACAAAGGAGAGTCTCCTGAACACTTGAAGCTGACGAAAGCGAAAAGAAAAGACAAGGAAAAAGTCAGTGAATTTCGGCTAAGACCTCCGGCGAACCTCGCCGGCAAACCGAGCTCCTTTTCGCCGGAGACAAGAAAGAAGAAACTTGGAAATAAAATCACGGGAAAGAGAAATTACAGCGCAAAATTAGCATTGGGAAGATCACCTAATGCATTGAAGAAGGCAACAGTTGTACCCCTCTTCTCACACTTTTCCAAGTGCAACGATGAAAGAGAAAATCTGAGAATTATTTTTTTTTCAGAATCTTGAGGAGGAAGAAGGAGAAGAAAAAGAAAAACATTGAATCCTGGAATCTACCGCCATTGCTTTCCGAGAAAACAAATTTCTCGTCTTCGTCTTCGGATTAGAAACAGAGAGATTCTCAGAGAAAAATTTATCCAGAAAATAAAAAATTCAATCTATCGTTCTACTTCCCAGTTTTTGCCCACCTCCATTTGCCACACGTCGAAGGTAGTGCTATCCCTACTGATATTACGGATTAGCCCTTCTCTCCTTTCTATATTCACGAAAATGCCATGGCTGATATTTTTTTTTCAAATTAACAATGACGGATGATTGTCCTAAATCCCTAATTACTTTTCAGTTCCACGCTAATTGTGGAAATTACCCCTAATTTAATAATGTATTTAATCATTTCTAGAGAGAAAAAACAGGTGAAAGAATAGGAAACGGGCGAAGAAAGCTAATTGTTATCAGTGCTAATTAAACAAATTAAATAAGGGTTTAGGAGTTTTCGGGGACAATAATTCGGAATGTCATGTCATGTCATGTGGACCCACCATCATCGCATGCAATGACACCGAGGGACGCACATGTCTTCTTATCTACCTCCATTCCATATTGGTTAATGGTTAATGGTTATAAACGTCTAATCAATTGATATATTGTTACTATATGTGAAAATTCGAAAGTATATAGAACAAAATACGGTCCATGTATTATTCATATTTCATTGGTAAAATATATGTGATCTGTTTCTTGTGATAATTAATTACTTGCCCATCTTCTAAATGTCAACTTCCACGAGAAACACCCTAAATACACTATGCACGCGCGCACCCACACATTTATGTGTGTATATATATATACAGCAATATGTTATATATATATATATATATAATATAGCAAATGGTGTATATATTGAGGGAACGATAATGATGGGCAGTGGAGCTCCTGTGGCTGGCTATCCCTAGGCTTTTTTGGCGATTTGCGGTGGTTCTATCGTAGAAGCTAGTTATTTTTTTTTAATTACTATTTATTCCTTGGCTTTTTGTAACCATACAAATACAATTAATTATATAGTTTTTAGTTATGGTTATATTATTATTATTACTATAGTTGTGAAAAAAGGGAACTACTTTTACAGTTGGCCGGTCCATTAAAAATGGTCTCTCACAGTGGACTCTTCACTTTTGGTGGGTGAAACACGTCATTATTTTAATGCCGTTTAGGGGTATAGTTAATAGTTGATTTATGTAAAAAAAAAAAAAAAAAAAGAGGAAGAAACACCTAATTTTTTTGTCTTGATTTGAGACCGCAGCTAATTGTTTTTTTTTAAAAAATGTTTGGTGGGTTGTCTCCATGTGATTTGGTGGGGAATATTAATAATCATAATAATAATGATCGTGTGCATGTCAATTTAACATTCCCAATGAGTCCCTATCCAAAAATCTCATTTATAAGCCAATAAAGAAACCTATTAATGTTATCAACATAATAATATTATGATATATGGTGATGGGTTTAGAAAATTGATAAATGTATTATATTCATGGAAGTGGGAATAGATTCGATTCAATATATAAAGATTCAAATCCTCGACCTCGGGCAAGGTAATCTCGTATTTCATGGGGCCAGGTGTCACCTGGGCCATGGTTTCGGGTCATTTCGGCCCAGAAGTTTTGCCAAACAATCCCGTTGCATCGTTGTAACTCTATCCCCTTCTCCAAACATCCCGCATAAAATTGTGCATCGTAAGCTTTGGAAAAGCTGTACCAATTCGACTTCGTTGTGTCTCTATTCCCGCTGCCAAACAGACCTTTTTCTCGTGTAGGATCCCTTCCGCTATAAATACCTCTTCCGCATGCACAAGTGGATGGCTTTGGATCGGAGAGATTCGGAATTCGAGAGATCTCTCGTCTCCTCTCTCTTTCCAGTTATTCAAAAACTTCGATCCGTTGGTTCTCTCCTATACCTTCCGATATTGGTTTTGGCGGGACAAGGAAGTCCTCAATATCTCCTGTAAAGCTACTTGCGACCCATCGCGATCGATCTAGGGTTTCGTTTTGTTGGTCCAGATCCGGATTTTCTTACAATGTGTCGGTTCTGAAATAGCTTGTGTCTGGGGTTTCTGTCGGGTTGTTTGTGACTGTAAGATGTCCCGGTGTTATCCGTTCCCGCCACCTGGTTATGCACGGAACGAAATCCGCGATGAAGCTCTGATAGAATCGATCAAGGTTTGTCGGGCATTTAGTTCGTGGCTTCGGTTTTTGGCTATCGGGTTCTTGCGATTTTGAGTGCTCAACTTGCGGGTGTTTGGTTTTCGAACCCTAGTTATCGATTCTTGGTACCTGTATTATGTGGTTTTGCGAATGTTTGCATAAACAACACGTCGGGATGAGAGAAAGGGGGAAATGTGTAGTGCGTCGTTGAAGATATCGTATTGAAGTATGCTGTTGTGTGTAAGATAACGAATACTGTCGATTTGAATTGAACATTCTGTGTGAGAGAACAATCCAAGTAGACCAACTTAGTAAACGAGAAAAAGAACAAAATTTTATGTGAATCCCCATGTCTGGGTTTCTGTAGTTCATTGGATGTCGGGGCAAATGTCTGTCGTGTTCTTGCTTCCATGCCTTTCTGTTGGCACGAAATGGACTTGCGCAAAAGGTTACGGTGCTATCTGTGTTGTTAAAACATTTGGTTTGTGGGGATGAAGCAACCTGTGGAGCTGGTCAACAAGCTTAATTTATGAGAAATCCCATGTTTCCTGGTCTATTGCTAATTTCCAGCATTTTTTCGTCTATGTCAGTGTCATGATCTTCTGTCTTATTAACCTTGATTCTTTCTTTGAATGTTCAGAGAGAAGAGGAGAAGGCTAGGAAAGAAAGGAAGGAGAGAAAAAGGGAAAAAAAAGAAAAGAAGAGGAAAGAGAGGGAAAGTGGGGCAGAGGGGAGCAAAAATCACAGTCATAAGAGACGGCATAAAGACAACGACACAAAAGAGAACAAGAAAGTTTCAGATAATTGCAGGAGAGTAGATAATGAGACTGAACTTTTGGAGAAGAGCTGCCTTACCGATGAACGTGACAATCAAACAGCATCGCAAAACTCATGCGATAGCACTATTAACTGCAACGAGAGGCCGAAGCAGAGCCTGCCTCTCGATGACAATCATAACACCTCTGGTGAGTTTGTTTGCGTTTCTTACTTCCCCGGGGAAGGCTGTATACTTGTCGGGTCTGTTTGCTTCTCTTGCACACTGATGATATTCTTTCTTCAAATTGTTACTATGAATGTGAAGAAAGCATCATTCGGATCCGGTTGCCTGTCAAAAGGCAGAAAGATCCTGAAGTGCTAACCAGCAAGGATGAACAGCCTTATTCTCCCCGGGGAAGGATTGTAGCATCTCAACCTCCTCCTAGAGAATTGGTTGATCAACCATGTTCGATATCCGCAAGTGTAGCCCCGCAACATGTTCTAAGCCTAAGTGAAGAGAGCAGTAGGAGCCATATCACAACGAGATTCAGTAAAGAGAAGATGCCCTCTCGTAGTCACCGGGAACAACCAGAGGTGGAGCCGAGCAAAGAGAAACCATGCTCTGTAATGGAAGAAACGGCTCGAGCTTCAAGCCTTTGCACTATTTGCCCCCCAAAAGTGGCTGTGCAGTTCCTAAATCTCATTGAAAATTGGAGTCCTGAGCCCGCGGGCAGTGATCTGTCTGACTCGGAAGATCAAGAATGGTGGGTAATGAGAACAAATAGTCGTAACAATGGCGCCGGAAGGATTCAAGTCAGCAGTCTCAATACTAGCCAGGGAAGTAGTTTGAAGCAGTGGCCAGGTGCTCGCTTTCTGCCTGGAACCGATATACATGCTTTACCCTACACCGTCCCGTTTTGATTCGCGTCTACACACTTCCAAGGAGAAGAAAACGACTGCATGGCAGTGATGTGGAAGTGGCAGTGGCACTGACATGAGCTCGTTTTTTTTTTTTTTTTTTTTTAAAAAAAAAAAATGGGGAAAAGC